CCTGCTTAGAGGAAATCTTTATATCTGATATTACCCTTAGTTTTAAGCTTTATTTGGGCTATTTGCTAAAACTGTTTCACATAAATCGATAAGACCAAGAGCCTGCAAGCAATTTTGTTCATCTTGTGCAGGTTGCTTTGACTGGTTTGTGTGCTTTTTGTTTGTTTCATTATACAGTGGTACCTTGGGTTACATACGCTTCGGGTTACATACGCTTCGGGTTACAGATTAACCCAGAAATATTACCTTGGGTTAAGAACTTTGCTTCAGGATGAGAACCAAAATTGTGCGGCGGCGCAGCGGCGGCAGCAGGAGACCCCATTAGCTAAAGTGGTCTTCAGGTTAAGAACAGTTTCAGGTTAAGAACAGACCTCCAGAACGAATTAAGTTCTTAAGCCGAGTTACCACTGTAATAATAATATTGTTGTTGTTTAGTCGTGTCCGACTCTTCGTGACCCCATGGACCAGAGCATGCCAGGCACTTCTGTCTTCCAGTGCCTCCCGCAGTTTGGTCAAACTTATGTTAGTAGCTTGGAGAACACTGTCCAACCATTTCGTCCTCTGTCATCCCCTTCTCCTTGTGCCCTCAATCTTTCCCAATAATATAGATAATAGCAATTTCAATTTCTTGTTAAGTCGTGCATTTTTGTCTTTAAAAACAGTGCCTTTATATTTAAAGCTGCCTTTGTTTGCTGTTGTATACTGTAACCACCAAGAGTTGGTGTACAAAGAACTTTTGTTAAACTCGTTGAATTGTATTTATTGTTCTTGCATGAGCGTACAATACAATCAGTGGCTCCTAAGAATGTTTCTTACAAACCAGCTTTGTATAGTGTCAGGCTGATGGGTTATCTAATTGAATATTGTGTCCCTTGACTCGATTGCCTCAGAACCTAAACAGATGACTTTTCTAGTGAATCCACCTGAGGTAGCTTGACCAGAGATACTAGGGACTGAGATGGAGACATATATGAAGTGTATGTTTTGCCAGGGACCAGTGTTTGAAATTAGCCAGGTGCCAGGCACATTTTGCACCTGGCTTTCGATCACTTGCAACCAAGTGACTATGCCTGGATGGTGTCTGATACCTTCACCATCTGGAGGTGCCTGCCTGGTGATCATTGGATCTGGACTGTTTTCACACACTAATATCCCATTCTGTGGAATTCTATCAGTTATATTTTATCTGCACAATCAGAATGGATTTCCAGTACCAAAATGCTTCTCTAGTGCATCCTGAGCAGGAGCAGTCACCAGTAAGAAATAGAGGTTGGAATAGGCCAGTATATATGTGGACTGCCCCTGGATCAAGCGACTTTTCTTTTTAAGTTCTCAAAGCTCAAAGTTGTCATCTGAACTAGCCAGATGTTTAACTGAGAATCAACCACACTCAATCCATCATTTGAAAAATAAGACTTTAGAACTGTCTTGCCCAAAAATGGCAACTAAACATTCCGTTTTGGCAACTGTAACCTTGGTTTAAGGAGCCATTTGGCACCCGGCTTATATATCTGAGTTTCTAACACTGCCAGGGACACCTTGTGAGATGGTGCAGATGGTAAAATGTTGCTGCCATGTGATTCCAGGCCTTTGCTTGCAGATATAGCTTCATGCCAGTAGCAAATTGCAAATGAAGTCTAGTAAAGTTTATGATTAGACTAGGGCTGTGCCAAACTAAAACCCGTTCTCCAGTTTCTTGATGTTTTGTTAGCCTGTAAGAGCCTTCTGTTTTTCTGCCTCATTTAATTTTGGTTGGTGCAGGGGTGTAAGATGCTCTCCTCTCAATTGGTTAATATTCATTCATATAAGGAGTTTGATAATTTGTGTTGACAGTCCCGTAAAACCAGTTTATAATTTGCTTGTAAAAGAAATATTCTGGATGCAGAGTTGGAGAGTATACATTCAACAATGTTGAATAGATTCACATTCTCTAATGCATGCCAGTTTGTGTTCAGCTGTGTTGCATTACTAAAAATAAATGTACCCTCTCTGGATTGAGCATTCTGGAGGAGGGATAAAGAAAATGAATTATCTGTCTTGTTAATGTACTAGACATTTGCATTTTAAGTAACTTCATAATGTGTATTCCCTTCTGGTTTGAACCATAAGATGGCTTAGTAGAAATTACATGAAACAAGCTATAGCTAGAGTTGATCAAGTGCTTGGGTAGGGGCCTATGCAGGTTAAAAATGACCATGACTAATATGGATAGAGTTGTAATTGTGAACTATGACTAGGAGCAGGAGGCATGAAGAGAGTTGGCTGACAGGAGGGAGTAAGTAACACTGTGGCCCATTCCCAGTCCAGATCAAGGGAACACCAATGTCTGTACAAGATTTGCTTCATCTTTTTGGATACAGAATTTTGTCAAACAGATCCCCATCTGCCATAAAATTCAGTCTTTTATCTTGATTAGCCTGGGATGATCAGTCTTTTTCACAACCTCTAGTTCCGTTTCATCAGCATATTGAAGAAACTGCATTCTATAAACTCAACAACCTACAGCAATTTCATGTAGACATTAAAAAAAAAAGAAGTACAGTTAAATAGGAAATTGTTTTAGAATTGGTAGCTGCTCCACTTCCATTCCACTCTCATAGTAGGAACCAGGAAGGCTTCATATGCAACAGTTGTCTGCTGCTCTGATCTCCCCCCGCCCCAGCTAGGATTGCTCTGTTAGTATGTTTTTATCTACCTTTGTTAATTGAACTTGCTGTTGATTATAATAAAAGGATTGGAGACAAACTAATCTCTGAACACTCTACACAGGACAACTCTCAGGAGAAGAAGCAATAGTCAGCAACATTGTTGCATATATACTGACTGCCAAATATAACCAGAGTTCTAGCTTTACTGTATTAAGATAAGCACAACTTTGCAGGTTATAGTTTTCACCTTCCAAAAACAAACAAACAAAAAACCCACCCCTTTTCTGAAAAGTGGGAATAATCTTAGACCTTAAGAAGAACATGTTAAAAACGCAGCTGTTCTGGGATCTTTTTAATGCTTGTTTGTCACCTTTTTAGAAGCTGCTTTGTCATTTTCATAATATGTAAACATAATCAAAAAGAAAAACTCCTCCCTAACCACCTCCCAAGCCCCAGTCCCATTCAAATACACACAGATAATTCTCCTTCAAATAAAAGTATATTTCCATATGTCCCTGTAAGTTGCAATTTGTCTGATAGTGTGTCGTTCCTTTGGTCTTCAGCTTTGTAAGTCAGTTTTTCCATTAATATCAAGTCCTATACCTGCTTAAACCACATTTAAAACAAATCAGCATTTAGAGTTCTCCAGTATCAAACAGTTGTAAGGTCTTCTTCCATCGTAAGGTAAGTTACAAGGTCCTTCTGAATGAGATCCACAATGTCTGTAGAGTAGATGGAACGAAGAGAAATCCTGTGGTCTATATCACTCATTTGAGCCATGATCAATTCAGTTTCCCAATAAACTTTATAATGACCACCACATATGAATAAAACCCCCAAGCTGCAACCGTTTTTCCAGCATTGTGACAGGATGCTTTTGTTAAATTTATTAAGCAGGGAGGGTTGTTTTTTAAAAAAATAAATCCCAGATCAGCTAGGTTTTTATTTTTTAAAAAATAGGAAACCCGAGTGGTTTCAGCACAATAATTGAGCTTAAAAACATGTGAAGTACCGGTAATTTACCTTGAAGCATTAGTAAAGTGCTATTTTACTTTTAAGAAATATTAAGCAATCCTTCCAGGCCAGTGTAAGATGCTATACCTTATTGATATTGCAGCATTTCATTTAAAAAATGAAACGTTTGTTCATTGTATCTCACTCCATATAAGTTACCAAAAAAATTATAAACCACCTACTGCATTATGTTGGTAACTGCTGATTTGGGTTGTATCTGATAGGGTTGTAAATAAATTGTAAATAAATGTACGTAAGTTACCGTACCCATTACCTGTATTTGGGTGCACTAAAAATAGTAATGCAGCTTTGTTTTTAGGGTTGCAAAGCCCAACAGATTGGTTCATTGATCTATATGCATATGCTTATTTAATTATTTAGATTCATTCCTACCCTCAAGTCTTGTTTCACATGAGCTTCTCTGTTTCCACGGCAGATATGTAAAGATAATTTGTTCCTCAGTCAATTTGGTTGATTTCTTCCTTTGTGTAAAGCTTTACTTTAGCTTTGATTCTGTTACAAAGTGCCCCCCTCCCCATTCTGCACTTAAAGAGCTCATATTGTATGATTTTATTGTTTTACTTTTAAAATTAAAACCATGGTATTGGTCCAGTTGTGTAAAATGTTTTATTGGAATGATGCTACATCTTATAGTTTTTAAACTTAATTTAACTTAATAATGACACTTATCTTTATGTATTCTCAAACTTTAAAAATACAGTATCAAACTTTTTCATGGTTTCTTTAAAACTATGAATTAATATTAAAACATTTTGGGATACTCCTAGCCACCCCCTAGGAGTAGCATGCCTTGCATATACCATGCAACTTCAGATGTCCTCTTTTCCAAAGCAACATTACAGTCTGCCTTCAAATACAGGTGGAATTTTAGGCGCATCCAACTGATGCATAATTTCCGACGTGTGGGTCCTTTTGGACCCAGAAGAGGGCAGAATGGGGTGTGGGTGGTATGGGTAGCCAGGAATGGAACCCCCACGTGAAATAGTTACTGCCTCTACAGGATGGCTAATGATGCACTTGAGGCATAAGCATCATGACAACATCTGTACACCCAGGCCTTTGTGCACTTCTGCAGGAACTCTCTAGCTCTTAACAACTTGAATGATCAAAGGACAGCATGCTGTGCTTCTGTTTTAACCACAATGTAAAACTGGGCTGAAGCTTCTTGAATTATTTTTCTGTAAAAAGTGTGTGTCTCTTTTGATGGGGTTTGAGTCATAACTTCTGGAGTGCAAATAATTGCCGATATAGTGAATCTGCCATTGATTGTTTTATGAAACAGTGTTAGCTGATGCCACTTATTTTATTTCTGCACAGGAATCTCCCACAAAGTTAAATACATGACTGTAAGAAAGAGGAAATCTATATTGATAGACTGTACTATCGAGAAACCTTCTCTTCAGTCTGCAAAGCCTTCAGCTTTTCTCTATGCCATGTTGTGTGACTGTTGTCCCATGAGGAATTTGTCTTCATGAAGATTCCTAATATTGGTAATGTGATGAATAAATTTGAGATCCTTGGGGTTGTTGGTGAAGGTAAGCACATGTTTTATTGTGTTTTTAATATTTTGTTGTGAGCCACCTAGAGTGCTTGGGGCCACCCAGTCAGATGGGCGGCATATAAATAATAAAATTGTTGTTGTTGTATCCTTTTTCAGTTCATTTTGGGACTACGTGCACGAAGGTGCACAGACATAACTAGAGGCAGAATAAAAATAAGATGGTGTCTACAGGAATCTCTTTTGGACCTCCAAATATGCTTATAGTTAGGGACAATTTTTTTAAAAAATACTTTTTATTACAAATCACTTTACACAAAACATTAAAGAAAAAGAAACAATTAGGACATACAAACAAAAAAATACCCCAATAACACCACTAAACTTTAACTAATAACACAACATCTAACATCATGCACTCTTTTGTCTTCCGAATCACCTCTTTGTGCTTTCAACGTATTCTTAATAGTTAGGGACAAGATAATGCTTTTTTTTAGAGAGAGCTAATGATGGTATGAGGAAGCTACTGGTGCGCAGGCTATGCAGACTCCTAGGTATCTGCCAAAATAAATTTTAAAAAACTCTACAAGCAACCTGCAAAATCTTTTTTCTGGAGAGGAGAATAACTGTCCACTATGGGAAGCATTAACTATCATACAGTCTTCAATTTTCTCTCTCTCTCTCTCTCTAACGGTATCTATTGCTAGCATATTCTCTTCTGACAATGTTGTGTTACAACATTAGTGTGATAAGGCCCTAAACAGCTTGGGACCAGGTAGCCTTAGGTAGTCTCATCTTGGTCCTTGGGATCTCTGCAGGGAGGTCCTTTTGTCCATATCACCATACCATACATCCAGGAATGATGTGGAGGGGTTTTCATGGAGGTGGTAGCTATCATGTGGAATGATCTCCCCACTGAGATTAGACAGGCACTGATGCTGGCCTACAATTAAAACTATTTCTATTTAGTCCTGACCACTACTGCTACTTCTGGATGTCCCTCATTTACTGCGATTGATTTTTTTTAAAATAGAAAAATTGATTGTGTGTGTTATATCTTTATTGTGATTTTTACTGCTGTATAAAGAGCTTTGGTATATATTTTAGAAATAAAAAGTGGTGTGTACACACACACACACACCCCTACCTACATACCATAGTATATATATTCTAATAGCTAATAGTGTTTCTTTATTTCCCAGCTCTAAATCTTGGTGTATGAAGCAGGGAGGGAATTCCCCTGCTTCTCTGAAGCCTAGAAAAGGATGGGGCCTCTCCTTAATCATAATCACTCAAAACAAGCTGTCTCACTGTTTTATACATTTTCATGCAAGCTCCGGAAGAACCCGTCTGCTCTATCAAGCTTGCAAACTATGCAGTGCTTGCCTAATGTCCAGAAACCCTCAAGAGACAAGGCTGTTCCTTTTTCTTTTGCAAAGAGAATGTTGTTGCCAACTGCATTATTTTCCTGGCTCCAGTTTTGATCCCTAGCATTAACATGCATTTCTTTTTTGTGTAACAGTGTGTGCAAAGCACATGTCAGTAGTGAATAAACTAATTCAAATTTCTAGATGCTTGCTTCGCCAAACCTTTTTTAGGCATTACAAATATAGGCCATCTTAAAGCATCCATATGTAAAATTTTAAAATATATACCAACAAACAGCCATGTAAAAATATGTAATAACGAGGATTTTCATTGGAGTTTCTTCCTGCTAACTAGTGCCATTCACCACTCTGAGAGATACTATTAATAAAAACTCAGCCACCCTTGCAGTTACTTCCGGGTTAATGTCAGACAGATAGAATCTGATATTTTCATTGTGCCGTGATGTTAGACTACCCAAGAAAGGGGACAGCATGCGTTTGAGTTGCTGGTTGTACAATGGACAGTAGAAAAGGATATGTTCTACTGTGTCTGGCAGATTGATTTCTGGATGCAGACTCATCTACTTAATAACGTAGCACTTTGGTACTAATTTCTGAAATGCTTTTAGACACTTTTAATGTAAAGGAAAGTATATATTATTGTTGGACAGCCTAAGCTTCCCTGCGTAAGCTTTGCTGGTCCAACGTTTCCTCATTACTCCTTAAAAATAAAGCTGATGATATAACAGCAATTGTATCACCTCTGTATTTTTATGCTGCAGACATTTAAAAGTACATTTGTGTGCATTCCTTTATAGAGTTCTGCTTTCTATTGAAAGATACAAGCATTCATGGTTTCAAACTATGTAAAAGAATCAAAGAATTTGAAAACTTACTAGCCAATTTTCAGTATATTCAGAGTTGCCACATATTACTAAATGTTACAGCATTTGGTCTAAATAATGAGGAGGGGTGTGTGGGTATATTTTATTTGTGTATGCTTGAATATATATTCCTGCCTTCTGGTGGCTAACCTCTTTCCCCCCTCTTTTTTAAAATGGTGGTCTAGGAGCCTATGGAGTTGTTCTTAAGTGCAGGCACAAGGTAAGAAAAATACTTTTAAGCTGTGTAATTCAAGTTTCCATGATGAAATTGTATAGATGAAATTTAGAGTAAATTGCTACCATATGCAGAGCTGATTTGGCATCCCTTCTTCCCTCCCTTCTTCCCTCTCTTCCTAGTTTGAGGCAACCCATTGTCTACTGTTTTGTCTGAACCAAACTAATATTTGATTCTGGTTTGCAGAGCAAGCACAAATCATAAACTAGGGCTAGTCTCAGTAGAGGGAAGGGTTTTGCTGTGAGGTAAAGGCAGAAGGGAGATCCTTTAAGACTTGTTTATATTTGTGTGAAGATATCCCTTCCTTCAGGGATTTGCTGGGCAAAACACTCTTCCACTCTTTCCCCACATGCTGTCCAAGCCCTTGCACAGAGGACTCATTGCTAAGGGGACTCATTGATTGAATCCCACCTGTTGTTTTGATTTGTGTTGGACCAAATCCTATGTCCTCCAGAGGATTTTACAGTAAGCTCCTTGTGGTAGCTAAGTTTCAGAGAACATTAGGGAAAAGGAACCATGTTTTTTAAAAAGAAAGCTGTGTTTTATAAAGTTTCTGATTCATGATAAGGAACCATTGTTTTTTTTTAAAAAGTAAGAAGTTCCACTTTGTTATGCAAGTCATCACTAGTCCTTAAAGGAGCATTTTCTTTTAATTGTGCACAAGCTATGTGTATAATTCTGAACCTTGTGTTCATTTTTTTGGTTGCCTTCTTTCAAAAGTATGGGTGAAATAGCCATGTATACCTAACCTCATAATATTGGGGGGGGGGATAGAAACATAAGCCTTTTGATGTTCAATCACAATCTCACTGTTTGTAGTCTGATTTGCACAGACAAATTTTTCATGTCTTCCACCTGCTTAGCATTTAAGTTACTCAGCAGAAGACTGCTGAGTTGCCTGCAGTTCCATGAAAAATGACATCTCTGATTAAAAAAACTGCTCAAACCAGTCAGCCCCAAAAGCCACCACATATCTTATGTTAAACAAGATGAAAAGACCTAGTTCAAAAGATAGCTTCTGTGAAGTTACTGAGAACATAAAATAATCGCATGCAGTGAATGTATTGAAGAGCACTGATTCTCAACATTTATATCCAGATCCTCAGCTTATTTATTTTGGATTTAAACTGGTTTTAAATCCCAATGTAATATTTTCTAAGCAAGTGTGCCTAGGATTGCAGCATTAAGGTGTGTGAAAATGTTTCCACAAACACAACTGGTGTTGCATGTAATACCGGAGGTGCTGCTTTCAGTAAATGTAGTTCAGTATACGTGAATGAAGCTTTAATCTGAAGTTCTGAGAACAATATGAAATACTGTGATTAGCACACATCTGCATCTAATCAGCACTAGTGTTTACTCTAGCACTTTGTTCTTTCATATGAAAGAACCGTACCCATTTTCTGCTTCTGAATGAAGGTAATATAAAAGAGTACAAATACTGGAAAGATAAAATGTTAAGTTTCCAGTAAAATAGGCCAAGAAAGATTTGAAAAGCAAATCACTAACAATATGAAAGCTAGGGATAAAACAGTATTGAAGTACATGACAGATGAAAATATGACCAGATAGCCACTAAAGACTGTAAGAAGGCAAAGATATAAATTAATCTGTCATAGAAAATAGGATAATTGTTCAGAAATGTAGTGCATTCATTTGTAAGTTTAATTATTTATTTTTAACTTAACTTATTTTGCTGACTTCACTGTGCTGAGACAGCCCATCAAAACTTTTTGAGGTGTTTCTATTGAAATTATTGTGTAATAGAAATGGCAAAAGATGAAGATTTAGAAATAATTTAAAACTAAATAGAAAGCCACTCAACCAAGTGTTGTAATTAAATGTAAAACAGAACAGTAGACACGAAGAAAAATTATTTCTGCACACTGTGCATAATCTTTTTACACCTTTGTTGTGTTATTCGCTCACCTCAATTGTGCTCCCCTTTTTTCTAAACTAGAAAGTTTAGAACCTTTCATTACAGGGGACTTTTTTGGCCCAAGGAGCCTTTTGGGTGCCCTGTTCTGCACCTATTTGAGCTCTACAATATCTTGAAGTCAAATCATTACTCTTTGAAGTCAAATATGAGTATGTTGGGCTTACAATCATGGAGAAATGTTTTGACTAACTAGCCTCAGTCAACAGCAGGATGCCTGGATTTTGAGCTAATGGAAGTTTACACGCAATCTTCAGAGGCAGCCCTATGTTCAGTACATTATAGTAGTCAATCCTCGGTATTGCCAAAGCTTGGATAACTGAGACCAGGCTCTCTGCCTAATGTGAGACCATAACTTGTTCAGTGTCTAAAATGATTGAAGGTGCTCCTTGCCACAGAGACATGTGGCCTCTCTTGGCAGTATTGAGTCCAGCATCGGTCTCCCAAACTACAAATGCAATCTTTTACAGAGAGTGCAACCCCATTCAGAACAGGTTGAACACCATCTGTCAGACTAAAGAAACCACCAGCCCATTTTATCATGAATGAGCTGCAGTTTATTGGCCTTCATCCAGCCTCCTTCTGATTCCAGGCACCAATTCAGCACTTCCATTGCCTCGTTTGAATGTGAGGGAACTGGGTGTTGGCACTGCCCTTTTAAATTTTATCCCTGTGAGATTTTGTGTGATTGGTAGTGAATAAATTGTAAGGTGGTTGGAAGAAGATAAGAATATTCACTGGGTGTGTTTGGTGTGGGTTGGTTTTTTTAGTAGGGGAAGAGAAGTGTGTATGTGACAATTTTACTTTTTATTGAGTCCAATTGAGAATGTTTTATTTAATATGATGAAGAAACTGAAAAATATCTCAAGGATGTTATCTGGTCACTTTGCTAGACAGGGATTGTTGTGTTCTTGGCCTTCCGTTTTATAGAAGACAATCCTTTTCTCCCAAGCCGCTTGATAAAACCTGCGTTTTGACTCTGGGAAAGACTTTGCATTGAAGTGCTTCTTGAGATGCTCAAGGACATTTGGAGCTGGCTTGTATATAGTGCTAAGTGTGCAAGCTAGAATGAGCTGTAGTGAAGGCTTGAACTCATGAGCTCCCTTCTCCTCCAGAAGAAGAATTTACGCCACGTTTAATTTCAGATTCCATAAATCTTGACTGCTTTCGTATGAACTGAATATTTGTGGCTTAAAACAGGTTCACAATCCCATCGTTTGCAGTGGGCTTGTTTTAGTTGTAAGAGTTTGAACCATGGTCACAGAAGCATAGAATTGTAGAGTTGGAAGGGACGCCAAGTCCAACTCCCTGCAGTGCAGGTATGCAGCCATTCGACTGTACATTATTGGTGTAAACTGAAAGTAGGCTAGGCAGAAATCTTTTGTCCTGCAATACAGGTGCTGAGGTGGATTTGGACTCTCACAGAGCACCTAGCCATGAGGCATGTATAACTGATACCTTCTTGCTTTAATCAATTTAAACTCATATAATCAATCTTAATTGCAGTCTTTTCACAATCTGTGTTCATGTTATGCCAGACCAAAGATACACTGGCAGAGTGGCCAGTGTCCCCTGTGTCTGGTAGTGGGGAAACTCACAACCAGAAAATGGCCCTGGGATCTATGGAAAAGAATGCAGCTGCCCACTGATCATAGTACACTGATCACAGCCACACAATACAGACAGAATGCAAGATAACATATAAGGCCCACTGCCACAGTTAGCAGTTACCCCTGTACAGTGGTACCTCTGGATGCAAACGGGATCCGTTCCAGAGCTCTGTTCGCATCCAGAAGCGAATGCAACCCGCGTCTGCATGCATGCACGTGCATGGGTTGCGATTCGGCGCTTCCGCACATGCACGTGACGTCATTTTGAGCATCTGCGCGAGCGGCAAAACCTGGAAATCTGTTACTTCCGGGTAGCCGCGGAGTGCAACCCGAAAATATTCATCCCGAAGCTACTTCAACCCGAGGTATGACTGTATTGCTAGCCTCTACCTTGAATACCCTTTATGCTACTCACAGCCACTGTTTTTGAGTAGAATACAGAGAGCTTACATAGCTCTCTAGGCAAGAGCCCTGGAGAGGTGCTTTCACAGCCCTCTTGTGGAACAGGGGGTCAAGACCTACTGAAGGGGGGAAAAGATTTTTATCAAGCATCCATTGGGAGGGGGCCAGAATATACAGAACTCTTTCAGGAAGGGAGTCTGAGGAACCCAAGGCAAATAGTGGCAACAAGAGGCATAATTAACAATTGCTGGAATGCTACCTGGCAGGGCTGGCCTATCAGTCAAAATGAAGGAGGTGGCCTGCTAGGTGGCATTCCTACAGACCTAGACACCCAGGCACACCTAGGTCAATTAGTACTGTTGCATAAAATAATAGTCTGCCTCCCCCATGGGACAACCAGCCCTTTTGGCCCACCCCCTCTTGGCAACCCACATAACCAGCCCAGCCCTTCTCCACCAGGCTGGCTCATATACCCTGGCAGCAGTAGCCACCTATTTGTGCACTCTGAGAGGACTGCCCCCTACTTTTTATGTTGAGATTCATAGAGACACCATTGACCCTTTGCTGAAGGGGCTCGCCAATCTTTCAGACAAGTCTAAACTTAATTCTCTCCTCTTAGGCAAAGATCATAAGATGACCTGGCTGGTAGCCAGATTCTGTGCCCAGATTTGTAGGCACAGATCATCCTCTAGAATAAAATAGCTTACTAGGGAAATGCTGAAGTTGCCCTTTGGGGCGCCTCAGGGTCAATTTTTTATGGTAGCCCAAATCTCAGTTGTACGGGTGTATGTATATATCTCAGTTTTAACTCATGAGCTATTGCTGCAATCTGTTCCGACTGTATATTTTATCTTTATGAACGCTGTTTTTTATTGTGTTATGTTATGTGAGCTGGTCTTTGACCGTAATAAATTATCTAGAGGACTGCCCCCTCTCCTCACAGCACAGGGTGCTTGATTGAGCATGGAGAAGAGGGACTACTACTTCTGAGCTCATCATGGTTCATGTTCAGTCCACCCACTCAGAATCCTATCCCGAGGCCAGGTGAAGCTAAATCATACTAGAGAGGGTGTGGGAGAAGAACCCATGTGTACCAGTGCCTGCTGACAGAGAAACAATACATGGGATGTTCAAAGCCTTTATTGGGTTAGAATCAGCATATTATGAATAGGAAATAACATTATCTGGAGCGTTGCCAACTGGTCATCTCAGCAGTGGTCATCTCCTGTTCCTTGGACAAGGGCTCTATAGACAGTAGAGTAGCAGGTGCAGTGTCTCTTACCACACTATTTCTTAAATGATATGTCTGTTCAGGGTGCGGCCCTTAAGAGCTGCAATTTCTTGGCTTTTTGGAAGCTGGGTGAATAGGGAAGCCTTTTAAAACACAGCTTGTTAAACAAAAAACTTTTTTGTTAAATGATTTTTTTTTGGTATTGTCTTATTTTGCTATGGCAGTTTGCTAATGCAATAAAGTTTTGAACTGTTAAATGATTCTTATATGCCACCATCTTCAACCTGGATAAACACAGGGAAGTTATGTGTGGGATGGGCCTGTCTTACACTTGAAGGATCACAAGATTAGCACCAGAAGTGACCAAAAGGCCAGAGTGTATGAATTCTGGTGTCGGGGGGGGGGCCTCCCTAGCCAAAACAGGATTATTAAAAGTCAAGAGCTTGCTTACTAATTTACAATCTTCCATAGCTTACATCTTCACCAAGTGTAGAACTTGTCTTCCTGAAACTAATTAACATTTATGGCAAATATGGAATACTGCCATGATTATGTAAAGAGTAATTCACAAGCAGTGCCATCTGTAGATTGTTATGACTTTCTGGCTAGCTTCTGATAAAGTAACTTCCTGTGCAGTTCTTGTATTTCAGCTTTTGCAGGGAGTAGTTAGTTATTGGAACAGCATCAATAATATATATTGTTAATTGTTTGGTTTTTACTCTATATGCTTTTGATTCTTTAGTAAGAAATCACCTTAATTCTCAGTGTTGCTACTGTGCAACCTGTTTAGCATGAATAGAAGCTCACAGCTTTTATACCATAGTCTGTGCAATTTGAAGAGAAGACTCACTATTCAGAACTAGGTAATTAATATGGTAGAAAGTGGCAAAGTAATTCTGTTCAGTGTTAATATTAGTTGGATCATTTCTTTTGAATGTTCTGGTAGAAAGGGACGTGGAGCCACTTTTGGCCAGAGAGCTGGATCCTGTTGTGGTCAGCCTTCTACAAGCCAAAACTGACATCAAATCACCTGACATTATACAATGGTGGATCTGACTATGGCTTTGAGTCTTGTGTTTGGCACCCACTTGAAACAGTGGAAGCCTTTTGTTTGCAAAGGAACAAACAGGAGCATACTAGGGTTCTGGATTGGTTTTTTTTATAGCCATAGCTTTGCCTGTCCCTGATTGTGGCTGGGGGAGACAGCCTGGTGGGCCACAATAGGCTGACCTGGTGACTTCAATTTGGCCCAAGCACCAGAGGTTTCCTTACTTGTATTCTAGAAGAACCACACATACGTAAAATAACCTCCCAAAGTGGCATCCTGCTTTATCCAAAGGATCTAGGATGGTATTTTGTTTTAGATAAGTAATCCCAATTGAATAAGCTTCAAATGCTTGTGATGCTTATCTCATATTATGAACCTTTATTTAATTCTCAAAAGATTGATTTAATGCCAGGTTTCAATATAAGAATAGTAATATATTCAGGGTATCCATATATTGCTTTGCACCTGGTGATTAAAAGTATTTTTTCCTTCTAATTTAATTTTTAATTTACATTGTTTCTTTGAAAGTATGTTTACTATTGTTTTAATTTCTGTGCCACATCTCCAAGGCTCATGGCGGCTTACCAAAGAAAACAAAAACAAAAACCCAAACACCCTCCCATAACAACAGCAACCACCCATGGCATGGGTGTAAGTAGAGTTTTGGTGACATTAAAAGGCTTTCACACCTTCCTCCTCCTCCTGCAGCCCTGAAAGAGCTGGAGAGCCCTCATGTCATAACATGATATGGTGTGATGGCTGCAATGAGAGGAGGACTTGGTAAAAAGTCCGGAAGGAGTTCCTCCCCTTGCACTGGCTGAAAGGTGTTCCTGTATGCAACAGGCCCTTTGGATTTGAGCAAATATAAAACCTCATAAAAAATAACATAATGTCTATTTAGTTGATCCAGAAAGACTAGCCAGCCAGCTCAGATGCCAAGTGAAAAAGCTGATCTTTACATTCTCCACTAAAAATCCAATACATTGGAAGAACTGCAGACCTCTGAGCGAGAATTTTTCTTGTAACCTTGGGGACAGCTATAAAAGCCCTGCTTTTAACTACAACATTTCTAGGCCTTCACAGATTTGGAACACAAAACTAGATACTAACTGAAAGTAAGCGTTTATTGCAGAACCTTGATGTTTATTGGATGGTGGGATATTTGTGTGGTTTGACAAAGAGCTGATTTTGCTGCCTTTTTTATTTATAGGAAACACATGAAATTGTGGCCATTAAGAAGTTCAAAGACAGTGAAGGTATTTTTTTCCACTTGTATATATCAATGCATTGGTGATGAAATTCAGCAGGCTTTGTGTCTTAAGATAAAAATCTGTCCCATTATATAATGCTTATTTTAGTGTCGTTTGTGTTAAGCATTGACTATTTCCGAGACTCACAATAGCTACTTAAAAGCTAACTCTTTTGTGTGGCAAAGGGGACCTAAGGAGATTTGTTCCAAAGCTTCTGCTGAGACAATGCTAGATGTTTAATGTTAAACCTGTATGCTTTCCACATTATGAACAGATTTTAACTTTTATTTTTGGTACTTATGGCTCCCTTTAATTTATTCCAAGTAGTTAAAATTATTTTCAGGGAGGAAGGTTAAACTTTTTATGTTGCAGTCAATAATAATAATAATAATAATAATAATAATAATAATAATTTATTTATACCCCCCATCTTTCTGTATGTCATGTAGATCTTCAAACTTACTAAGAATGATTTAACTGATGCAATTAGATCTTATAATTTTGAGAAACTTGCTTTCATATCCAATATAGAAATAAACTCTTGTCTTATTAATCTTCAGTTCTTGAATTTTTAACTAGAGAACATGGGACTCTTGATTTTGATAGGGCCGTTGATATGCTACTAGTTTATTTCATCCAGATTCACAGTTTTTAACTGCTCTGTATCATCTCAAAAGGCCTTCTTCATTATCAGTTTGTCATAGATGCTGACATAGTCTACTGTCGATGTCACACACACTCCATCACAAACATAATTCAGGGGAAAGCAGCAGGCATATAATTGATCGTCCCAGATTCACAGAATTGTGAATTAAAGTTGTGACTAGCTTACTATGTTCCCGATTTCTTTGTGTAAATATTCGGGAGTGAAATTCTCTTTTATCCTATGTGAGATAAAATAATAATAATAATAATAATTATATATATATATATATATATATATATATATATATATATGCAGGTTTTGGTGTCCTCGGGTGTCTTCCCGTGTAAAAGTTGGGGTGTCTAGGCGACGTTTCGACGAGGTCTCACTCGTCATCTTCAGGCTGGTGCTTTCGGCTTCTTGTTACTGGAACAGAGCAGGATCTCAGTGTTTGAGTTCCTATAAATACTGTTGAGGGGGTGTGGTGTATAGCCTCCAATGTTCTGGGCAGAGAGGAAGTTCCCAGGCTAGTGTGCCTTTTCTTCTTTTGTTCCTTAATTACTTGAGGGATATCTTGAGTGATTTCTTGAGTGATATCCTGAGTACCACTTAGGTGGGTCATTAGGTGTGGATTAGTTGCTAAAGCCTTCGTGTCTTGACCTCTTGAACTTTGTGAAGAGTTTTTAGTTGTGCTCTGGCTTGGCTTCGTGTATAGGGGCGAGCTGTGGTTTTGTGTCCTGTGCCAGCCAGATCTGTGTAGGCATATATATATGCTTTCGTAGATTTTCACGGGTACAGGAATGCAGGTTTTGGTGTCCTCGGGTGTCTTCCCGTGTAAAAGTTGGGGTGTCTAGGCGACGTTTCGACGAGGTCTCACTCGTCATCTTCAGGCTGGTGCTTTCGGCTTCTTGTTACTGGAACAGAGCAGGATCTCAGTGTTTGAGTTCCTATAAATACTGTTGAGGGGGTGTGGTGTATAGCCTCCAATGTTCTGGGCAGAGAGGAAGTTCCCAGGCTAGTGTGCCTTTTCTTCTTTTGTTCCTTAATTACTTGAGGGATATCTTGAGTGATTTCTTGAGTGATATCCTGAGTACCACTTAGGTGGGTCATTAGGTGTGGATTAGTTGCTAAAGCCTTCGTGTCTTGACCTCTTGAACTTTGTGAAGAGTTTTTCTGAGAAGATGGCTGTACTGCATTTAGTTGTGCTCTGGCTTGGCTTCGTGTATAGGGGCGAGCTGTGGTTTTGTGTCCTGTGCCAGCCAGATCTGTGTAGGGATTGCAGGGGGGTGCAGCATCCGGAGGTGCCACCATGGTTTGGCTACTGGATGGTGTCTGTAATTTATCTGTGGAGAGGGTCTGGGTTTGGGTCTGGTGTGGTTGATTGGTGATGGCGTTCTGTGTGCCTCTGGATCTGGTGTCGGTTTTTGTGGGGAGGGCTAATTTCCAGATGTCTGGCAGGCGGGATGTGTCGTCACGCTTGTTCATGTTGTGAGGGTGTTTCTCTATCTCGATGGCTTCCATGATTATTCTCTTGTGGTGATGTTCCATGTTAGAGAGCAATTTGGAATCTGCAAAATTAATTTCGTGTCCTGTTTCTTTCATGTGTTGGAAAAGAGAGGAAGTTTTTTCTTCTTTTTTGACGGCATTCTTGTGTTCTGCGATACGTGCATTTATTCGTCTGTTTGTTTGTCCAATGTACGTGGCTGGGCAGACTTTGCAGGGTATTTCATAGACCCCTTGGTTTTCCAACTGGATTTTATCCTTGGGGTTTCTGAGGATATTGGCTATTTTTTGGTTGGTGCAAAAGGCTGTTTTGATATTGTGTTTATGGAGGATTCATATTCCATATGAAATACCCTGCAAAGTCTGCCCAGCCACGTACATTGGACAAACAAACAGACGAATAAATGCACGTATCGCAGAACACAAGAATGCCGTCAAAAAAGAAGAAAAAACTTCCTCTCTTTTCCAACACATGAAAGAAACAGGACACGAAATTAATTTTGCAGATTCCAAATTGCTCTCTAACATGGAACATCACCACAAGAGAATAATCATGGAAGCCATCGAGATAGAGAAACACCCTCACAACATGAACAAGCGTGACGACACATCCCGCCTGCCAGACATCTGGAAATTAGCCCTCCCCACAAAAACCGACACCAGATCCAGAGGCACACAGAACGCCATCACCAATCAACCACACCAGACCCAAACCCAGACCCTCTCCACAGATAAATTACAGACACCATCCAGTAGCCAAACCATGGTGGCACCTCCGGATGCTGCACCCCCCTGCAATCCCTACACAGATCTGGCTGGCACAGGACACAAAACCACAGCTCGCCCCTATACACGAAGCCAAGCCAGAGCACAACTAAATGCAGTACAGCCATCTTCTCAGAAAAACTCTTCACAAAGTTCAAGAAGTCAAGACACGAAGGCTTTAGCAACTAATCCACACCTAATGACCCACCTAAGTGGTACTCAGGATATCACTCAAGAAATCACTCAAGATATCCCTCAAGTAATTAAGGAACAAAAGAAGAAAAGGCACACTAGCCTGGGAACTTCCTCTCTGCCCAGAACATTGGAGGCTATACACCACACCCCCTCAACAGTATTTATAGGAACTCAAACACTGAGATCCTGCTCTGTTCCAGTAACAAGAAGCCGAAAGCACCAGCCTGAAGATGACGAGTGAGACCTCGTCGAAACGTCGCCTAGACACCCCAACTTTTACACGGGAAGACACCCGAGGACACCAAAACCTGCATATATATATATATATACACACACACACACACACACACACACACACACACCTGACCCATCTGGCTGGGTTTCCCCAGCCACTCTGGGCGGCTTCCAACAGAATATTAAAATACAATAATATATTAAACATTAAAAGCTTCCCTAAAGAGGTCTGCCTTCAGATGTCTTCTAAAAGTCTGGTGGTAGTTTTTCTCTTTGACACCTGGTGGGTGGGCATTCCACAGGGCAGGTGCCACTACTGAGAAGGCCCTCTGCCTGGTTTCCTGTAAGACTGGTGAAGTAAGGTACTTTTTTACCTCCTCCAAGTGCAATGCCCAAAACTATGGAGACGTACCACCTGAGACCCACACGTGTATGAGAAAGAATTGCTTTTAAGATAAGGAAAACACATCAATTTGCTCATAAGAAGTGGATAAAGGCCTGTACTTAGTGTAGGCACTTATACATCACCAAAAAAGAGGATATGCACCAACAAAGAAGAGGGCTTAAATGGGGATAGAATTTGCATGTGCAAATTTAGAAATAATCACTAGAATTCAAATTTCATTTAGATAAATCATTTAATTCCTATCCAGATCACCTGAAATAAGATTTTCAATTTGCAACCCACCCATATTTCCCTTTCAAATCAGACCTTTACAAATTACCCAATTGATTTCCAATCAAAATGATCCTGTTCCATAATTTTACTGTTAAATGGTCTACTTTCTTCAATTAGGCAGCTTTAAGAAACCATACTATTTTTGATAAATGGAAATTGAAACTTGGGCTGCCATCCTAAACACATTTAAAGCAATCTACACCTGACACCTTGGAGTTTCAGCCAGAGCTATGTTGGGATAAGTCTTTCACCCTGGCTCAGCGGGTGGAAGTTAAGGTGGTGTAAGCCCCCCAGAGGGGTGTTCTGAGGCTGTGGAAGGGTCGCCTTTTAGCTGGGTTCCCTGAACTAGTACCCTAGTGGAACTTAACCTGCAAAAAAGAGCAGTGTACGTCAAATTCTTCCCAAATGGAGTTTGGAATGGGGGTAAATTAACCTGGGGTAAGTTGTGCCAGCTTACTGAAGCTAAAATTGCTCTGTTACTCAGGTTGCTGCTGTGTTGCTGTTCTCTCCTGCTGCAGTGGGTGAGAGGCAGGGTACATATTTGATGGATATTCATCAGGCAACACCCCTCCTTCCTTAACACATAAACTTAACACATAAACTCGCCTGCTGACATTCCGCCTGTCAGGCAGTTGTTGAAAGTAGAACAGTAAGCAGTATTACTTGTTCTTGCTCTCCACTTGAAAGCTCTCCAACAGAAAGGCATAGGTTCTTCACAGCGAGTGTTTAGGGCAAAACAAAATGTGATGTTAATTGCATGATTGTGGTTTGTTGGCAGTAAACAAACCACAGGTAAGCCATTGGGAAAGGTTCGGATGACCGAAAAACTTCAACCTATTTCAGAGCATGTTTCCTTGGAAGTAGTTTCCTCTAAGTTGAGTTTCACCCATCACAAGCATGTTTAACAGTGTAGCTTAGGGCAAAATCCAGCAGTTACATATAATGATAGACTTCTCAATCACAGAGCATACTTGGGAGGGAGTGTTCTAGCAGAGAATGGTTGTTCAGCCCTTCATGCTGTCTGCTTTCCCATCCAAAAAAAGTTCTTCTTGCAACTAATTTTTATTTTATTAAATTAATTATTAATTATTAGTTTAAATAAACTAATTATTTTGGTAAATTTGTATACTGCCCTTCATGAAGATCTCAGGGTGGGTGGCAACATAAAAATACAAAATGGGAACACAAAATACATAATAAAACAAAACAAAGCAATAACCCTCTCCCCAACACATTTGGAAGGATATAGAGTTTTAATTAGCCAAAGGTCTGGTTAAAGAGGAATATTGTCTTCTCGTGTCTAAAAATGTATGATGGACCTACATGGGGTTTGTTCCATCTTGCCTGCCATTCCTGTTCCTCTAGTTTCAAACCCAGTTCTTGCTCCCACATTATTTTAAGACCTTTTGTACCATTCCCTTCTGATTTCAATAAACCACGGTACAGTATTGAAATTAAACTCTTAGTGTTACCGCTAGAGTGCTTCACAAAACCTTCAGACTCTGAAAGTTTATGTGTTGCCACGTCTCTAATACCTTTTGAATGGAAAAAGTAGAGCTCTACCTCCACAGTAGACTTGGCACTTGTATCTTTCTAGTTTTTCTTTAGTTTATCCTCCAAGATGCGAACATTGTCTATGTAAAAATCATAATACATTTCCTTAGCCCTAGTATAATAATAGTTTTTAAGAATATGGTTTCATACTAACATTGATGGAGTATTTGTACTGTTATATGAATAGTGGATCGATAGTGGTAGACTTTCCTTGGTGTCAAAATTTTAATGAATCTCTTTCCATACAAGGAGGGTTTTTTGTTTTGTTTTTTAAAGTTAGTTTTACCAACTTTCCTTTTTAACTTTTAGAAAATGAAGAGGTCAAAGAAACTACTTTACGAGAACTTAAAATGCTCCGTACTTTGAAACAGGAAAACATAGTCGAGCTGAAAGAAGCTTTCAGAAGAAGAGGAAAACTGTATTTGGTGTTTGAATATGTAGAAAAAGTAAGTTTTTTTAAAAAATATATTTTTTAAAAATTTAGTTCGGGTGTTCCTAAACCTGAAACTAAAAAAAGAAGTTATTTTTATCCATCAAAAATTGTTATAGTTTTTATTCTTGCAGAAATAATATTATGAACAGCTCCTACTTGCTTGATTACATTATTCCACAAAAGTAGATCCATCTCTAGCCAGAAAATAGCAAAATCAGTTGGGACTAGGAGGATTTAAAGTTGGACATGTGGGCTTGCAGGAAATAACCAAATTATTAGTGCATTCTTGAACAATAAATGAAGATATTCCTTTCTGACCAAGTAATTCTTAAATTAAGCCACTATTCAAAAGTGGCAAAACTTCTTTTTCCCAATCCTAACTAGTAGCTACTTCTACATTCAGTTCTTTTTCTAGGAAATGTTTGTTTCTTAACCTGTAGTTTCACCACCTATAGATAAGATGTGTTTTGCAAGAACAGCTAATATACAGTCTCCATGTGTACTCTGTATCCACGGGGCCTCTTTTAAAGGACTCACCCTGTATTTTTACTGTCTGTTGGAGACTGACCTTACCTATTTGACGTAACCAATGACAGACAATAGATATTAATTGACAGACACTTCCAGCATCTTGTAAGCCTTTTAGTAAGGAAAACTAGAAACCTCTGAGTAAAGTCTGGAGAACACAAGTTTGTAATATAAAATATAATTTGACTATATGGTGAATACCTAATAAATCCATATCCAAATCCTTCATCCTAAATCCTTCATCAAAATCCTAACTAATTATTAATCATCTAGAGAGAAAGGGACCACTTTCTGTTTGACTTTATCCTGCGCTTATTCCTTTCAGAAGGAGCATGTAGTCCAAGGCTCACTCCTGATCACACCATGGGTCTAATCTTGGGGACCAAATAATAGTCCAGGGATGATTAATGTAATAGTACTTACTTCAAAGTAAGCATGCATGGGATCACAACTTTAACATGTGTATGGTTTTTACCGTTAACCAACATCCCAGAGCTGGTAACAAATTGTGATGTGGGATATGATTTATAAAGTTACTCCAAGCAGTTTACTAATTAAAAACAAGAGTAAAACCATGCACAGCAATTTGAAGCGAGTATAAACAAGAGGAGGAACTAAAAACCCATTATCTACACAATTGCTTTCAAAAACCTGTTTAAGCAGACATAACAATGGAACAAAATAAAACTCTGTACTCTCTATAGAAAGCTGTGCAAAAGCACTTACAGCCAGGCATAGGCAAACTCGGCCCTCCAGATGCTTTGGAACTACAACTCCCATCATCCCTAGCTAGCAGGAGCAGTGGTCAGGGATGATGGGAGTTTTAGTCCTAAAACATCTGGAGGGCCGAGTTTGCCTATGCCTGACTTACAGCCATTGCTTCAACCTCACCATTGATTTTGTTCCTGGATGGTCAGCTGGTGATCAGAATTACTTTTGCACAGCTTGGGCTGGTGTGCCAGCAGTATACTTCAATGGAAAAAGAAGTTCTGGTCACTATATGTGTCTTGATTAGATTCTGACTGTTGCATTGTGATACACTTTATGTAAGGCCATCTCTGAAAATTGTAGCTGGTATAGAATACTAGTCTTTTCAGATCCAGGGCCTGCGTTTAACCCAAACATGCAATTGGGGACCCATATCTTAACCTTTGACCACATACTTGATTGGTGGTAATGTTCCTGTTGTGACCTACCTTGGATCAGGCCAAAACTCACTAGTGCTCCTGACCTATTAGTTGAAGGCCAAGAATTATGTTTTCGTGGCTTAGAAACAATTTACCAAAGTAAGTAAGTGTACAGTGGTACCTCAGGTTACAAACACTTCGGGTTACAGACTCCGCTAACCCAGAAGTAGTACATCAGGTTAAGAACTTTACCTCAGGATGAGAACAGAAATCGCGTCCCGGCAGTGGGAGGCCCCATTAGCTAAAGTGGTACCTCAGGTTAAGAACGGTTTCAGGTTAAGAACGGACCTCCGGAACGAATTAAGTTCATAACCAGAGGTACCACTGTAATTCAAAGTATTAGGTTATTATTTGCTTCAAATCCTGTATGACTTGGTACCAGTATATCTTAAGGATTGCCCTCTGCCCTATGAATCTGCTTGCCCATAATTTGCAGGTATCATTCTTCATATCCTACCACTGTCAGATATGTTACTGGTGGTGGCATAGGACTTTTCGGTAGCAGCACCTAAGTAGTGGAAGCTCTCCATTTTGTAGGCAGGGCAACATTTTATTGTACAGTAAATTGTACATTGTATTTTCTTTTGTTTGACCTTTTAGTTTTGTAATAATTCTGCTCCTCTGGGTTATTTTTGTGATTGTCTAATGCTGATTTTCTGCTGCTCTGGGTTATTTATTCTTATACCTTATATTTTGTTTTATTTTTTAGATAATGGTTTTTATTATGCTTTATTATGTTTTAACGCATTTTCAGCTTTAGAGAAGTTTCCACTTTGTTCTGCCGTACAAATTATACTATTTGTCTTTGTTTTAAGTTACTTGTAACACTATTGCAAGTATTATTGTTAGTTTTTGTGAAAGCAGAACCGATTTCTGTCTTCTTGTATCAGAACCAGAAGTCTTAACTAACTGCCATATTCTGGATTATTATAAAAATTGAATGTGTCTGGAATTTTCTCCGAAATGAAGTTAGATTAACATATCTGTAATATTAATAAGTCATGATGTTGTTGCATAATTAGTTTTTAAAAACTTTGCAATTATGGTAGTAATCTAGATTAATTTTTTTAGCCTCTAATATAATTATGCTTTAACTCATAGAATATGCTTGAATTGCTAGAAGAAATGCCAAATGGAGTTACACCTGAAAAAGTAAAAAGCTATATTTATCAACTAATAAAAGCAATTCATTGGTGTCATAAAAATGATATTGTTCATAGAGGTGAGTATATCAGAAATAAGAACACTTGTCATCAAACTTAGCTTTCCTCTAATGCATATTTTTGCCTCTCTTTACCTTGTGAACCTCATTACCCTGGCCTTAGGCACTGAGGTATATTTTTTTAGGACCCACCTTATTTTCTGGGACAGTATCCCCACCCCCGTATGCCCCAAAATATGTAACAGCGAGTCTCCCAACCCTCTAGAGCAGATTTTGCCAGTGCATAAAGGACTGCAGGGAAGGGCGGGGGAGGAAGGTCTGTTGCAAAGTCTGTTGCATGAGCAGGCCAGCAGTATTTGATACAACCCCAAAAGTAGAATTTGTTAACATTTATTTTTCTGTATTTCAAATAGTGTGAAGAATAACTAATAAATCAATTAATAATGCAGAACAAGTGAAATGCTATGATGCTCATTTTTTTCCTACGCATTTAATATTTCAGATATCAAGCCAGAGAATCTCTTAATAAGCCACAATGATATTTTGAAATTGTGTGACTTTGGTAAGGATTTTCAGTTTTTGAAGCACACTCTTATTTTAAAAGGGTGTCTTGTTTTTATGTTCTGTATATTATGACTTTTAATTTGTAATTTGAATTATGTTTGTCTTTGTTTTGCTTCATCTGAAAAACTTTTCTTTTTAACATGTTTTGTAGGATAATTAGTTTCTAGAATCAAAACAAAAATGTTTTCTCTTTTGCTAGTAATAGTCCAGTTCTTTGAATGGTTTGCCAGTTAGCATTTCAGTGCAAAAACAGGTGCATATACACTCATACGCACACATGCATTCACCCCACAGTAAAAGTTGAGACATGAATGGCAGCAATTGTAGCTCCACCTGACTGGGACTCGACACCATTGAATTAAAGGAATTCTGAATAGACATAGGATTGTGGCCTAATTTTGTTGTGCTGATACAGGAGAATTACTTGAGGTGCCCTGAAATGCCTAAGTGTGTGAAGATACAAGGTGGAATTCAACATCCAGCTATGGCATTCTATCTAGTATTCAGAGACATAGTGTATATGATCTTGAAGGTATTAGGTACCTTCTGTGACTAATAGCCATTGGCAGCTTTAGTCTCCATGAATTGGTCTAATTATCTTTTAGAGCCATCTCCACCTCCTATGGGATTGAATTCCATAGTTAAACTACCCACTGTACTTCCCTTTCTCTGTCCTGAAAATCCCACCATCCATTGGATGTTCCTGTGTTTTTAGTACAATGGTACCTCGGGTTACAAACACTTTGGATTACAGACTCCGCTAACCTGGATGTAGTACCTCGGGTTAAGAACTTTGCCCCAGGATGAGAACAGAAATTGCGCGCCAACAGTGCAGCTGCAGCAGGAGGCCCCATTATCTAAAGTGGTACCTCGGGTTAAGAATGGTGTCAGGTTAAGAACGGACCTCCAGAACGAATTAAGTTCGTAACCAGAGGTACCACTGTATTATGAGAGAGAGAAAGAGAAACTGTTCTTTACCCACCACGCATGATCTTATATACCTCTACCATGCTCTCCTTAGTTGCCTTTTCCTAAAGTAAAAAACCCCATATGTTGTAGCTTTCCCTCACAGGAGAGTTGCCTCAGACACTAAACATTTTGGTTGCTATTTTGAGAGCTCTGTCATATAAGTAATCCTGGACAGCTACAATAGCCAATAATTGTGGTATTCTTAGCCAAATACTCGTCAGTATTCTATTCATCATCAGACTCAGTATCATTGAATTTGAAAGCAAAATAACATCAGTGTTTTTGAGCGTTTAGAACATTATGGCTGTAATCCTGTACCTGAGAATAAGCTCGGTTGATAACAGTGAGACTTACTTCAGAGTAGACTTATATAGGACTGTTGTAAGTCTGTGTTTCTTAGCTTCTTTTGTAGAAGCGGTTTTCATTCTATGATTCAGGAACACTCCCCCCCCCTAAATTCTTTGGAAATTTACCAGTTTCACAGTAAAAATGACAGATAGGCTTTTCTGAAAGATTCCTTACAGTTTTTTTGTTTTTTGTTTTTTTTGCCTGTAGGAAAGATTTTCTTTTTCCACTTAGTTTCTTACTATTATTTAAGAAAGAGTCCAAAGCTAACACATAAGTGCTTTTTAGAAGTGTTTGTCTGCTATGCCTTAAATGTGCTGTGCTTTGTACATATACAATGTGCAGTAGCGCTTAGACATGTATTGTGCAGGTGCGATTTCTTGCTAGTAAAAATGTTGAGAGAAGAGTACTAAGCATAGACCAATTGTGACAGATGCACTTGGCTATTATACTATGGTGTTTCATGCTCTAGTACATCTGCTCTGTTTTGAGACTGTTTCCCTCCCACAAGATTAGGCTTACTCATTTGGGCAGTTATGTAGAAGTATGCAGGGTTTCACTTAGACTACTGAAATATCAAATGTGTTTGCAAATGGAACAGTATCAAATAGTTCAGTTGGAAATCCCTATCAGAGAAGTGGCCTCTAGCCCCATCCATAAACAAGAATTCATGGTAAGAATGCCCATTTTCTACAGCAGAAGCATATTAGGGCTAAAACTCACTATTCTGTAGGTTTGGCTTTTAAGAGAAGCAGCTCCCTTCCTAGGCAATAGTGATATACTTGCTACCAGCAGTAGAATCCTGATAGAACGAACATTTGTATTCCTACTTAACTGGATGACCCACATCATACATTCCATAGAAGCAACAAGAAAGAAAGCCAAATGACTTTAGCTTCCTTTCCCCACACTTCCAGGTCTGTGATGAAAGCAAGAGATGCATACTTGAATCCCAGTTTGCTGCCTCTCCCCTTCCACAGAAGGCCTGGAAAGGAGGCGGGGCGTGAACTACTAATTATATTTCTGTTTATGCTGCTTCTGGGTTAGCATACAAATGCCTTCTCTGTGGATCTGTTTTTGTGCCACTTAATGTTACATTACTCTTCGTGGAATAACCTACAGGACTTGACTTAACTGGAAAAAGAACATCCTGTTGCACAAAAATTTGAAGACTGCTAATGTTGAATAACTAGTGGCAAGGTGGCTTTTATGTGGAATGCAGTATAAATGACATGCAAATAACTCATAATTTTTTTAAAAAAGAGCATTTAACTTACAATGCTAAACTAAAATGCTAAAATAAATGTATATTCACATTCAAGTCTTTTTCAAATTACCTTGATACAGGCTTTGCACGGAATTTATCAGAAGGGAGCAATGCTAACTACACAGAATATGTGGCCACCAGGTGGTATCGTTCTCCTGAACTCTTGCTTGGGTAAGTAATCTATCTGTAGGTAGTGTACCACTTTGCAAATCTTATCCACTAACTAGCATTTGGTTGCTAAAGTTTTAACCTTCAATAAGGAACATATTTAATTATTATTTTCATTGCTTATTTCCATTGGCTAGTTTCATAATCAGCACTAAATTGAAGCCTAGTTTAGTCATTTCATCATTCTAAAAAAAAAGCAAAAAAGTTTTTATAGGATTGGATTCTAATGAAATCTAATGAAGCCTTACATGTTTTGGGCCACAGATGGTCAACTTCTGCAGCAACTAGACTGTATGTTTTGGCATCCGTTTGGAGCCCATTCATTGACCATTCCATAGAGCCCAGGAATGTGTGTGTGAAGAGCCCTACCCAGCAGATAGTCATGCACCTGAACTTCCTGCATGCCTTATCCTCTTCCATTCTGGTCAGCGCTGTGAGAGTCACTATGAGACTGTCATTCACCATATGCAGTATTGTAGCTCAACCCTGGGCATTGTTCTGCCCCTCCCCATATTCTATTGTCTCTTACCTCTTGTCATTTTTTTAAGTCAAATAGTATAATTGTCAAGTCAATAGATCTGACTTTAAATGTGTCTCTGCATTTTATTTATTTATTTCATAAAATTTACACACTGCTTTGATTGTAAAAACAAACAAACCTCAAAATGGTTCACAAAAAGATAAAACACTAAAATCAAGGGAAAAAATCACAACCATACAAAAATTAAAATACTAAAAGAAATTAAAATGATCTCAACTCAATTCAGCTAGCTCCTCCTGTGGAAGGTAAATTTAACCCCTTTCTGCCTTGCTGCACTCCTGAAGAAAATCTCTTCTCTGAAGTTGCCATTTCCATCAGGGAAGAAATTCCGCATTGGTGCCATTGTGGGTTTTCCCCTCTAAGCTTTCAAATGGGGATTTTCCTCAGGGCCACAGCAGAGGAGGAAATCGTCCTTTGATACCTGCAATCCCATTGTTCCCATTTTTATTTGCACATAAAAAGACCTGTTAAATTGAAAGGTGCATTTAACATCAGCCTGCGTTTCTGCTTAAAGGCTGTTCAACTCAAGAAAAAATGGTCTGGGCAATAATTATTGTGAAGTGGATGAGTGGGGCCCATAAAATCCCATTCCCCCCCCCCCAATTAAAATTTCTGGGTGAGGTAATGCAGCTCTTGAATAAATTTTAAATTCATTTGAATAGAATTTAAATGACACATATAGTATATGTATGCTGCAGTGTATATTAAGATACTTCAAATTTCACTATTTCTTGAGTTATGTGCTTCCAAAGTGTGACTTTATTTTAATATGGGTAAAGAAATAATTTTAGATGCTTCAGGTATAGCCCACACATCTTTCTTTCTTTGTGGTTATGATTATAATTAATATGGGTCATTTTTTGCACTTTAGCTGTTTTATATATTTTTTTCTGAGTGTTGAAAACATTAGAGTTTTGAATTCCTTATATGCTACAGTGCCATTTTAATAAGCCTGAAAGAGAGCAGGGAAACCTGACAAATAGCTAATTATACTACCAAATATTTTATGACTTTTTCCCATGGTAATAACCTATAATTTCCCTTGACTTACAAGAATTGTAAAGCTTTTACTAGCATGACTATGAAGAGCTTCCTCTCTCTTACATTCCTGTTCATTCTTAAGATAATTTGTATTTTAATTATTTTTAAATAGCTTTCATGGTTGCATTTTAGTTGTATTTGTTTTGTGAGTTCACAGTATTCTTGAAAACCTTCGTTACTCTGTAGTAATATAAACTTAATAATAAGAGATAGCTTATTCCACTGCTGTTTGAATTGGACATCTGTGCAGATATTATCCTTAGAGGGGTGTTATCGGGAGTTGCTTGCTGTAGCTTCAATTTTAACATTTCTATCAGCAGGAGTAACTTCTTGGCTTTGGTGCATGTTTTGATGCGCTTTGCAGACTGTAGTGGGGATAGCAGAGCAAACCAAGACTAGTCCTGATTTGGCCTTTATACGCCAATATTTATGTGTGGTAAATGTGAAGAAAGCAACTGAAAATAAACTTTCAGCAGCAGGGGGCTAGTGTACTGCAGTATAAGGGGAAAGAGGTATACCCATCAACTGTTGCTGTTGATGTAAATTTGGGGTTTATTTTTTGCAAGGGAAAAGAGAGTGGTTATTTTTAAATGTTTTTTCCCATTGAAGTAGAAAGCAGCAGTTACTTGTAGTTGGTTAGAAGGACAGAGGGACGACCAAGGTCAGATAAACATGGGCAGTGGAAGAACACTGTTGACTTTTCAAACACATAATGTGAAAGTAAAATAGTTACAGGTAGCAATAATAGTTACAGACAGACATGCCTTAAAACAAAATCATTCCAAGCACAGAGGAAACACTGGCCATGGATTGTTATATACCAGATGTTCACCTTTTGAAATATAGCAACCCTATTAATGTAAGCTCCTGCCAGGTAATCACATAGTTTGCTCAGATAAAACTCAAGTATTTTGTCTCTTGGCTGTTTCTCATTTATGAGATCTACATACTGTTTGCAATTCTGGCAGCAGCAAATTGAACATATGCACATGCATATTCAGTTTAAACATGAGTCTCTTTTGTATCATTTAAATAATATTTGCTAGGAAGACATTCTGGGCATTCAGGTTTTTATTGTGTGGAATGTACCCATGAGAGTCCATTGTGCTTTGGTCTTGCTTGCAAGCTTCCCATGTGCATCTAGTTGGCCACTGTGAGATCAGAATGCTGAACTAGATGGACGAGTGTCCTGATTCAGCAAGGCTGTTATTATGTTCTTATTACCCAATGCTTTTTTTCTGGGGGTACACAGGAGTACGCATACCCCTAAACATTTTGGGAATCTTTGTACTTTTGTTCATTTACTGTATTTATTTTCCCCGATTTGAACTATAAAATGGTGATTTTCTTGAGTCAAAATGAGAGTACCCCTAAACATTTTATTTTTTTTTAAGAAAAAAGCCCAGTTATTACCCATAGAAAATGGAAGGAGAGACCAGAAAGGCTTTCCTCAACCACCTCGATTCTCCTAAAAACACCATCTTACTTTATCCTAAAAACACTATCTTACTTTCCGGATATGTAAGGCTTGATGCAGTACCTTTCTGCTAAGGTTGCTGCTTATGGTTAAGAAACTGGAAGTATAGAGTAGGAATAAATGGACAGTTCTCCCAATGTATGAATGAATAAATGGACAGTTCTCCCAATGTATGAATGTAGAAAGTAGAGTCCCGCAAGGATCAGTTCTGGGACCTGTGCTTTTTAACTTGTTCATTAGGAGTTAGGAGTGCGTTGTGAAGTTTGGTGACGATACCAAATTGCTCGAGGTAGTTAAAACGAAAAGATTGTGAGAAGCGCCAAAAGAATATCTCCAAACTGGGAGTTTGGAAATAAATGAATGGGAGATAAGATGAAAAATGCAATCTGGTGTGAGTTTGTGGATTGAAACAAAAAACACCAAATCTCACATATATGCTAATGAAGTCTGAATTGACAGAGACTGGCTAAAAAATGGACCTTAGAGTCACTGTTGATGAAGATAACGCTTCTGCGGTAGTAACAACAGCTGTGTCACCCTTCTTGGAGGCCAGATCTGCTGCCTCCTTAGCAGCAGCACCCCCAAGCCACATCTACAGAGGCCTTTTGGTAAAGAGGAGGCACTGCTGGTCTCCTCCCAGCCTTGTTCCCAATGAAGATATTTCTTTTCCCCTTGTTCCTGATGTGTTCCTGATGCAGATCTTCACTCACCCCTTCTTCTTTGGCGGGGGTTGTGTGTGTGGTATTTTGTGGTTAGCCTCAGGTGCCAAAATGCCTTTGCCTGCCTGGCCCGGATGCCTCTGAATACAGTCATACCTCGGGATGAATACGCTTCAGGTTGAGCGTTTTCGGGTTGTGCTCCATGGCGACCCGGAAGTAATGGAACACGTTACTTCCGGGTTTTGCCGCTCGCGCATGCACAGATGCTCAAAATGACGTCATGTGCATGCGCGGAAGTGGCGTTCGCATCCAGAGGTACCACTGTACTCATGGCTGGGAATCATAAATTGGGAGAATGCTGTTGCACTCTGGTCCTGCTAGCAGGCTTCTCAAAGAGATCTGATTGGCCACTGTGGAAACAGAATGCTGGGCGAGATGGGTCTTTGGTCTAATCAACTAGGGTTCTTAAAAGGAAATGTTAGATTTTAAAAAAAAATAAAAATTAATTTTTAATACATTTTTGAAGAGTTTATTGCTGTTTAAAATATCATTATTGGGTTCTTTTAGCTTAATTAATGGAATAGATGTGACTAACATCCTGACCTACATGTTCAGTGTACCAAAGACATTTTGTTCAGTTCAGCTGTAAGATCAACAAGAACATTAGTAATTCTGATTTGGGGGGGGGGATATTTTTTTGAGTGAATTCCTATAAAAGGCTGGCAGGTTTTGTCAAATTCAAAACCAGTTTTTCAGTGGAAGAATGTACAATTACTATATTTTCCTCTGTATATTACCTTAACTATTGGTGCTCTAAGGAAAAGCCATCTATTGCAGCGAAAGGTGGAGGAGTGAGCAGAGAGCTTTTTTCTCTAAAGGATGAGAGACCCCTGATACTGAATTTCTTCCTAGATACAATACAGGGGGAAACATTAAAACATTGATTTGTTAAATTTAATATGTGTATTAGTGTTCAAAGTAGCAACAACTTCCATGTGTTTTCTTTTCAGAGCCCCATATGGCAAGTCTGTAGATATGTGGTCAGTAGGCTGTATTCTTGGGGAACTTAGTGACGGACAGCCCTTGTTTCCTGGCGAAAGTGAAATTGACCAACTTTTTACAATTCAGAAGGTGCTAGGACCACTCCCTGCAGAGCAAATGAAGCTTTTCTACAGCAATCCCCGTTTCCATGGGCTGCGGGTAATGCTTAAATTAAGTTTTTCATCCATGTTTCCAGGTGGTGAATTGTTTGGACAATATGTGTGTACCAAAATAATCGCCCTGTTCAATAAATATTTTTGTAATGAGGTAGATATTTATAAATGTGTTTCCATTTCTGTTTTTCACTACTAACGCAAGTGTGTAATTATGATTCATTAACATAGGTCCCTATACACAAGGTCTAGTCGGTGGTGGGGGAAGAGAGATTTCCTAGTATTCTGTTCACAGCAAATTTGAAAATTACAGATTGGAAGGATAGATAGTCCATACTATATAGTGAATCAAATATGTATATTTCACAGATAAAATATGTATGTTTCACTTTTAAAATAATTAATTTAAGATAAATAAATGATTTTTTAAATGGATAAATATTGCTTGTTCTGCACTGTGTAAGAGTTTCCAGAAGTGTCAACACAGCAAATTTTAACCTGTTAGCCTCTGTTAACCAGATTAGAAAGAACAAAACTTTTGAGCAGGACAGGACAGGTGGCATTGGCAAAAGTCAACTTACCAAGGGTAATTCTGGAGATTAATAACAAGAGATGGCAGCATAAGCAGTGTTTATCTTTGGCTGGGGGCAATCACTCCTTTATAAAAAGCCCATTATATTTATGATGTTTAGGGAAGTTTTTAATGTTTGACATTTTATTGTGCTCTGTTGGGAGCTGCCCAGAGTGGAAACCCAGCCAGATGTGCAGAGTATAAAAAATAAATTGTTATTATTATTATTTTATATTTGATGCAGCTTGTTTTACCATCTTCCATATAATAAAAAGTTCCATCCTCAGAAAGATTTTATCTGGACAGCCAGAAGAGCCCATCTGTTGGGGAAATCTTTTAAGATATTCTAAGACTTCACTGCATATTTAAAACGTTAAAATAATCTGCAGTAGCATAGCAACTTGGGTTTGCTCTGAGTATGACTAATGTTGAACATCACCCTCTTAGTTAGGCAACTTGTAAAATTAATTGCAATTAAGTAGATACTAAGTTGCAGTAGTTCCTGTAATTTAAATGAAGAGTGCAGTAAGAGATCAGGCTCTTCACCCTTTGAAGTTTTGTGAAACCCTGCTATTTGAGATATATGATGACTCCCTTTCCAGTATGTCTTCTTACAACAGCTCTCCTTCAGTTTTTAACATTATTAATCAAGGGAGACAAGCAGTCTGGAATGTTGTATGCTAGTGCTGAAAAGTTATGTAATTAAAGCTATACTTGGGAAGAACTCTCACTATTAAGCTCTCAAACCATTTATATGACCTACTTTTGGATCTAGCAGTTTGCCAAAGGATATTGTATATGCAAGACATCTTCCAGAGCAAGAAAATTAGCAGTTTGTAAACTCTGGTGGATCAAACAGAACCAAATATAATATTTGCTAGGAGCTGCCCCTCCCCCCGCTTGCATTGCTGCCCACCCCTGCCCTCCTCCCCACCCCTCACCTAAACCCCCATCCCCTCACTGCACCCCCAACCAACCCCCCACATCCCCTTTAAATTTCTACTCCCACCTACTTGCTGCCCCACCTACTCCCCCATCCTGCCTACCTTCTACACTGCCACCTTGCTGCCAGCGTCCATCCCCTAAGAGCTCCCCCCTCTGAATCCCCTCACAGCTCACTCCAGTCCCAAGATCCCACTTCTGCCACTTCTTACAGAGGAGAGGCGAACAAACAAACAAACAAACAAACAAACAAACAAACAAACAGGAGAAGGTGTTTCACCTCATGCCACCACCAACAGAAGGAAGCATATATTTAATATTGCACACTTCCTTCTGATAGCGATGGTTGAAGGGGAGAAAGACTTTCCTTGGCGGCGGCGGCCGTGACAATAACAAGGAGCAAATAAAGGCCTTCTTGGGCTGCCTGCTCATTCACTCTTCTGGACCACCTACTCGGGATCACTTGCTCAGCTGGGCCACCTGTTCACTCAGACCCCGGACTTCCTTTGCCCTCTTGTGCATGCCTTTTAGTGAGCGGGCACACAGGTGGCAATGACAGCGATAACAACGCCTGCCTGAACTTCCAGTTGGCCCACTTATTTACCTCCTCTGCTGGCTTGCTCCCTTGCACTTCCCACTGTTGTCATGCTGCAATTCACTTGGCCGCCTAGTGGTGGCCACACAAACTTGCAGCATGATGACTTTTTTCTTACAAAAATATTATATAGAAAGCAATGTACCTGTGGAAGCTTACCATTGACATATTGTCTTTGTTCAATTCTTGACAAACAAACAAAATGAAAATAGTGCCCTGAAACTTTACAACCTTTAGTGGAATATTTTACCTATGTCCAAACTGCATTTTATAGCATTTTGTGGTTGACTATGTAGCTACTGTGTGATTTTTCAAGAGCCGAACGCTACACTTTGCAGAAACTTTTGCAGTTTGAGGGGAATTTTAATTGGGGGGAAATAGGGGCATTAACCCATCTTTTCCTCCCCCTCCAGCACAATAGTCCTGGTCTGACTTCCTCCCTTTTCTATTCCTCCCTGACTGCACAAATGCTATTAATCTTTTTCAAAACATAGAGTGCATTTAGTATGACCTTAATAAGGTGATTATCTTTGTGGTTTTCTAATGTGTGTGATTATTTCAAGAGGCCAATCTGTAGTTAAGCTATCTATGCTATTGTATGTTGTCCCAGGTATTTTAGGCAGCATATACCACAAACAGTGTTTTGATGACTTATAAATGTGCCTTCCTAATGTATGGAAATTATTTTTATACAGTTTCCTGCAGTTAACCATCCACAGTCTTTGGAAAGGAGATATTTAGGAATCTTAAGTGGTGTTTTACTTGACCTTATGAAGGTAGGAGTATTGTTATTCTATGTATTATTGTTTCTATGTTCCACTGCTGTTCTGATGTTAGTAGTAAATCTGTGTGATGCTGATTTATTTTTCAAATCAGCTTCAAATATTTGAAACGGTACCAGGGATACTTCAGGGGAATTATGCCTTTTGCTGAGTATTACTCTGTTTTTTAAAAATAGAAAATTGTATTTTTCATTCATTATTTTTGTCTGTGAAAGCAGTGTAATTCTCCTATTTACCACAATGTAGACCTCTTTTCAGGTGATACAAAAAACTGAATTTAGTCCACATTCATATAAATAATGTGTTAACATGTTAGCAATAGAGATAATGGTGTTTATTTCAGTAAGTGCCTTCTCCAGCTTATTAAAATAAATGAATAACCAGAGGAACAAAATGGTTTTGTGAAACTAAGTTTTTATGAGCCAAATAGAAAATAAAATCTATTTCCTACCTTCTGCAGCAACCCAACTGCTTGTTATCAGGCCCAAATGTTATAGGTTCCAGTGGCTACTGGGCCCCAGGGTTATTCATGCTGAATACATCTACATCAGTTTGTAGCGTGAGTTTTTCACAATAGTTATAGCACTTAGAATCAATATTTTAAATACAAGATAGAGGAAAAATAGGCAAATAGTTTAAAATAGTTTTCATTTGCACAAAATACTTCTTAGAAATTGCAGTGTTTAAATATTAATTGGCCAAATACTTTTTGCTTCCAAATGGTATACAACTCAGCTTTATTACTTAAACCCGAATTTCTGTTCAAAAGAACTTACTGAAACTGGATCCAGCTGACAGATACTTAACAGAGCAGTGTCTGAACCACCCAGCATTTCAAACTCAGAGGCTCTTGGATCGTTCACCTTCACGGTCAACTAAAAGAAAACCTTACCATGGAGATAGTAACACCTTATCCAACAGGTAAGTGCAAACCATCTCTTGCCACTGGGATATTGGGATATTGATGCCCTAGCAATTCACATGTTCACTGGACTTAATGGAAACTGTTGCCTGTTAACTGGGCACAGTGACTCATGTGAAGAGTACCTTCTGTGTTGATGACAGTTGCTGTTCCATTTGTGTCTTTGAGCCTCCTATACCTGAATCCTGTCAGGAGTGAACAAAGTACTCTTCATTGCTTCTTTGTTCATTTTGATTCTGTGCATCTTTTACTTTTGAAAACTTGATCTTGTGGGTTCTCCTTTAATTGTTCTAACTTACTAGGCACTTGGAACAAACAAGTTAGCCATCTCAGTGCCAACAGTCTCCAGTCCATGCTGTATGTAAGCAAATCTTAAACACCAAGTTTACTGAAGCAGCTGGTGTTTAAAGGTAGAAATTAACATGTGTTTTCTCTGTGTTTTATAATATAGAACTCAAGCTAGCAAAAGTACTGCTGTGCAATCTCATCACAGATCAAACAGCAAAGATATACAGAATATAGGAGTTGGATTGCAGAGAGAAGAAGTTCTTCCGTCAAATGAAAGCTTTCTAAATGGAAATATGCCTGTTGCTTCACATAGCCCAATGCTTTCAAAAAAGCCAACTAACGCTCCTGGATCTGGAAGCAAGGATCTAGCTAATAACAACATCCCACACCTCCTCAGTCCAAAAGAAGGAAAAACAAAAACTGAGTTTGATTTTAATTCGGATCCCAAAGCATCTGATGGTCCAGGTACAAAATACTTGAAGTCAAATTCCAGATCTCAGCACAACCGCCACTCGTTTATGGAGAGTTCTCAGAGCAAAACTGGCACGCTGCAACCAGGCGAAAGGCATAGCCGTCACAGTTACATTGATACTATTCCTCAGTCTTCAAAGAGTCCCTCCTATCGAACAAAGTCAAAAAGTCATGGGGCTCTGACAGATTCCAAATCTGTGGGTAATCTTTCCGAGGCCAGGGTTCAAGTTGCAGAACCAAACAACAGTAGGTATTTTCCATCCAGCTGCTTGGACTTGAACTCTCCTACCACACCAACACCTCCACGCCATGCTGACAACAGGACTTTGCTGAGTCCTTCTGCAAGAAATAACAGAAGTGACGGTACGCTTGAATCGCGAAGACCATCTACAAGACATTCCAAAACTATGGAGGAGCTGAAATTGCCAGATCACATGGATGGAAGCCATTCACACTCTTTATCTGCTCCCCATGAATCTTTTTCTTACGGTTTAGGTTATACAAGTCCCTTTTCTTCACAGCAGCGCCCTCATAGACATTCTATGTATGTGAGCCGGGACAGAGTGAGGACCAAGGGCTCAGAGGGTGGCTTAAGCGTAGGGCAAGGGATGGCAGCCAGAGCAAACAGCCTGCAACTATTATCTCCACAGGTGCAGCATAAGTCACTCACAAGATCTGTTGGCTCCTCCCGTGAAGACTGTACAGAAGATACCAGTAGGGTTAGTTTGAATTTTGACTGTTGGAGAGACTCCTCTTCCCCATTTTGTATGTCTGTCATGAGTGAGCATATAACTAAATTGTTAAACGTAGGAATTACTTTTACCCCACCCTGGGAGCGCCCACTTTGATATCCATTTAGAACTTTTACTTTATTATAAAAATAGGTGAAACCTGTTGTGTGAACATAAATGCTTGAAATTATTTATTGCATTTATACCCCAGCCTTCTTCCCAAGGAGCTCAAGATGATGTGCATTGTTCTCCGTAGCCTTCACAATCCTGAAAGTTGCATGTGTCATAAGGCTATTACTTTGTGTTGATAATAGTTTGACCCAGATTTTTGAATACATTTTTTTAAAGAATAGTTTTGAACAGTAGTTGATCTTGGGATAAGTACAGGCAGATTTTAGATATGAGAAATTCAAAGAAATTATGGGTATTTCTTCACCTTTCCTTCGAAGAGCAAACAACTAGGCTACGCCTAGCATAGTTCAAACAGCCCATGAAAATTTTGCCATATGTCAGGCATGGGGAAACTATGGCCCAACAAGGGTCCTAATTTGGCCTACAAGGCTGTTTTTCAGGTGTGGTCACAACTCCAAAGGAACAGTCGGGAAAGTTAGTGCACTCATTGTACACCTGCAAGCAAGGCTTGCATTTCAGCAGCCTTTAATTTTTTTGCCGTATACAAACTGACTAGGAAGAGCTCCACTTGAATTCAAGCCAGGGATTCAAAAGATCTTCCAAGCTGTGCCTGCAAAGGAAGAAATGAAATAATTGGGTGTGCTCTTGATTCTTTCCATTGAAGTTTAGTCACTTGATGTCATGGTGACATCAGGCGACTGACAGGTCAAAGTGGCCAATGGGGTAGGGGAGCTGAGGATTCTACTTACTGGCCAGGTTCTGTTCCTCACTCCTGCCATTGGCACTTGTACTTAAAGAAAGGATAGAACTTCCACAGGTTTTTAAAAATGAGAGACAAACAGCAGGGAAGAGCACTTGGAAACAGGTTCACTAGCTGATACCTTGGTATTATCTAGCAGGGATGCTCTTACATAGTCATTGGTCTGGGAGTTGCAATATGCTGGAGAGGTAGCAGGAAGAGGAGAAAACAGGAAGGAAGGGGAAGCGATGGAGTCTAGATGATGGGAGCAGTGGGGGGTTTTTATGTTTTGGAAAAATTGGTCTGGCTAGAGGAAACACTCCTAAAATAAAATCTTAAATCTGTAATTTTATGCGGTAAGCAGGCATAGCCAAACTCGGCCCTCCAGATGCTTTGGGACTACAATTCCCATCATCCCTAGCTAACAGGACCAGTGGTCAGGGATGATGGGAGTTGTAGTCCCAAAACATCTGAAGGGCTGAGTTTGCCTATGCCTGGGTAATAGCATTTGCTTTAGCCATGTACCTTGTGATAGTTTTTGAGTGGGGGGGGACTTTGAAGGTGTCTGATTTACAAAACAGCACAGGTTGCAACTACAAACCATTCAGAGGGGTGCTGTATTGACTTAAGATCCTTCAACTTGGTTAATTAGACAGTCTTTGTATGTTTAAGAAACGCATCTACTTCAGTGGGTAGAAACTGTGGGTTAGGAGTGCAAACAGTATCAGACTCCTGGAATTTTAAGTAGTTTTTCAAAATATATACAGTTCTATGCAATTGCACTTTTAACTGGTGAACACAGCCAGTAAATGTGAATTGGCTTCAGTATTCAGGTGTTCCCATAAAATAATACCAGAACTATAAACAGGCATTGTTGTGAATACAGGCAACGACTGTTTTAGGCATGCGGGCATCACATTGACCCCCAAAATGGCTGGAAAAGAGGGCGGAACGGGCTTACACGTGTTCCGCTGATGCGCACAGGGACCAGGAACAGTACCCCTGTACAGAACGGTTGTTGTTGCCTGTAGAGAATATATGATGGTCACTGTAGCAAACTGTATGGCAGTTGTTGTCATTGTCATCATCTATTTTTCAACTTTTAACCAGGCTTTTCTCTCACTTATTAGTGGAATTTGTGGAGGTGTTAATATTTGTTCTAGTTCAGGCTGCGTTTAAGACAATATGGGGGCATATTTTAGATACGGTATTCCTCTGTTACCGAGCCTCCAGGTTGGGGTGGATTTAGTAATAAGTAATTGTGTTTTTCTTTCATTGTTGTCACCGGACTGTCCAGATTTGATTTCAGTTGCAAGAGCTCTAGGGTGGGTGCTGTGCCCTTTTTAATTCATGAAAAAATAAAATCTAGTCACTTTACAGTTCTTAACATACGGCTTTGGAACAAATATCATTTAACATAATCCTTTCGCTTATTGTGTGGAGGCAAGTTTCATTTTAACAAATACTCATAAATGTAGAATGAGGTTATGGGCAGATTCCTTCTTGTCCTGTTACATACCAATGGAGAACAGAGCTCTTTGGCTTAACAAATTGATTGTTCTTTTATTTAGGGTGGAGCATATCATGATCAGCACACAGATGATGGAGCATCCACAAAAGAAAATAGACTTCTATATAATGATCCTGTACCTAGGAGAGTTGGTAGCTTTTACAGAGGTATTTTTATCTCATGGAATTTGATCAATATTTCTTCCATTGTTCAGATAAAAGATACTACCTATTTAACTTGAGAACTGATTTCACTCTTTCCCCTTTTGCTTCTACTTGTGGGTAGATATGCAGGGTTTGGCTGCACCTTTAGACTTGTGTTCAGTTAAGTAGTCTTACAGACCGAACCTAAGCGTGTTTACTCAGAAGTAAGTACTATTGTGTTCAGGTTGCATACTCATAACATATGCATAGGACTGCAGCCTTGGTTATAGCTTTTTGTGTTGCACCTTTTTGAGAGTGCAGCTTAGACATAATACAACAGAGGTTTTTGTATTAACTTATTAACTTACTGGCGACATTCAGAAATACCATCATATCTTGGTTTGCCGTTACGCGCAGTTTTTCACATTTATATAAAATTGCAAACTGTGGCTTGCAGCAAATTAGAAATGGAAATGGCTAACTTCTGCTTTCATGTGTGAAGGAGGGAAGAGTATGTATGATTACAACAGCTCCTATGAATTGGGCCTTAGTCTAGGCTCTGGACAGATGAACTTCTTTTCAGACATGACTGCAGCTACAAGAAATAATTGGTGTGATTCATCCACATTTTTGAATGCTGAAATCCCATTGTCTTTAGAGGGAAAGGTCAGCCTGTCCCATTGAAATTAGTGGTATTTTAAAATACCAAACTTTCTATTCCTTCCAAACATAAACTTAAATTTGAAATATTTTACTAATGGAATTTATGTATATGTGTGCAGTATTTATGAAATGGAATGGCTTTAAGCTAAAATTTAAAGTAGTCCTCTGAATTCGCTTTGGTTTTCCATCTCAGTATTTAGTTTATGCCTGCTTGTAACCTATTGAATATATTTGGGTCCTGTTCATTTGGTATTGGATACAAGGGTTGCACCCTATCTCTCATTTTTCTCTGTCACTTGTATATGCATCATTGGTAGGTCAAGATATTGTACGACTTCAGCTTATCCAGATTTTTAAAAATTACTCTAAATATAGACATGTGAGCAGCTCTGACAGGTTATGTTTGGATATAAATAATTTGACCATTCAAACTCATAGGTAGTATTTGTCCAAAACCATAAATTTTGGTTTATAATTACAGAAAGGAGCCTATGTAAGCCTAACACATGCATGCTGTTTCTTCTCCAGTGTGGCTGCAAGGAGGAGACTGGAAAGTTTCACTTCCATTTTAAGTTAACCACAATTTACCCATTATGCAGTAAATCTTAGTTATGGTTTATTGAAGCAAGCTAGCTTGGAGGAACACAATGACTTTTTTCAAAAACTGTTGCTACCCTTTGATACCGAGGGGCTTTATTCTCCCTATCCTGTGTCAGTATTGTAATACTTTCTAAGAGTGTGATATTAAATGTTGAATATCGAGACTGAAGTGCCTAAGTAATATAGGCCTGGAAATTACAGGCATGTCCATCTTAACTTTTCTAAATTGCCAACAATCACACACAGCACGGACACACATTAATAATATCCAGGAATTGACACTGTGCAAGAATCTGAAGATTCTTATTAGAGTTAAAATAGTGTAATTAAGGGACTGGTTAGACAAACGAATCTACTAAATTATTGGGATATTGAAGAAAATGATTTTAATTTCTTCAACTTGAGAAGTTTAGTTTGCTTTTTGTGGCAATATAGCAATGTCATCAACATCATAATTTATTAGTTACATTTCTCACCAAAGTGACCCAAAAATATTTACAGTGCCTTCAGATTTAGTCTAGAGGCCTGTAGTCCTTTGGAACCAAATTCTCTCTTGTATTATGCTGAGTATTTGAATAGAATACTTTGTCCAACTGTTGGTGCTTAACGTTATTACAAATAAATTGCTGTCAATTGCCCATGTAAGAACCTATGCTCTACAGTAGAAGGTGATTCTGAATTCAGTCAGAGGCCTCAGATCTTGTTGATTCAACAGAAAATTCTGCCGGTTCACACTGGCCTCCTAACCTGTCTGCTCAAATGCGAGCTTTGTGCATATGTGTTGGAGCATCCCTACATGAAGTGAAATGTTGTAATAATTTTTCTTTATCCTTTTTCTTTCGGTTTTGCTCCATCTTTATGTGCACTTTCTACAAAGTCACATTTTATTGGTTCAGTGAGCTTCTTTGGTGTCAAAGAGGTTGATACTTAACACACTTGAAATCCCTCCGTTCTTTTTGTTGAGCAGTGGGCAGAGGGCGGTCAATGTGTAAGGACAAACTTACTTTATGGAAGAAAAGTCACATAAAAATTTTATTTGGCAGAAGTATGGATTTGTTTCAGTACTAAAGCTCAAGTACTTCCATTAGTTTTTGATTTACCTACCTTTCAACTCTTTTTGTCTTTTGTTTCCTACCCTCTTTTCTTCTTTCTCTTCTCTCTACTGATGTGTCCTCCCTGTCCTCTTTGTAAGTTTCTCATTGTCTCTTGCGTTGTTGTTTTGCTTGAATTGTATTCATTTGTTAAAGTTAAAGGAATAAATATCACCAACTTTTAAAAATGTAACTTCAGGGTTGTAAAAATACACAAATCCATAAATGGCATTTATGTGCTGCTATATTAGTTCTGTGTTTTGTTCATACTCTAAATGCAATCTATGTTGCTTATGCATGCTTATACATTTCTTATTATTAAGCCCTTCGTGTTTGTTACTAGTTTTATTTCATAGCTGAAATGCTTCTTTCAGAAGTAAACTTCTCTTGAAAGTTTTCAGCCGTATTTCCTAAAGAGGTTTCGGCTGCTATCTCCCCAGTTTGCCATCCAACATGCAGGAGCAAATTGGATAAGCTGGTTATGTTTTCCTCATGCTAAAACCTAGTGTCTTTTCATTCATTTCTTAATTCTGATAGGATGTCATGCTTTGTAAATAATCAGCATGGTAAATAGAGACAAAAGCTGGTGAGATTCAGATGACGATGGATATATGGCAGCTTTGTATTTTTTTTTTTTTCCAATTACAGTCCCATCTCCACGCCCAGAGGGAACATTCCTAGATAATAGTGCCTCAAACAGAATACCTTCGCTACCAGCAGAAAGTAGTAGTGTAACAAGCCACTCAAAGAGACAAACTGCTTTTGATCCCTGGTAAGTTGGTGTGTTTAAGGGATGTTTTAAAAACAGAACAGGTGATGGAAAGGGTGTTCACTTAACAATTTCTATTTTCTTGAACCTTTTATTGCTGCGCATTTCATTGGTATTCCTATATTATTAACATGTTTAAGTCAGACTCATGGTGATTATTTAGTTTCCAAAACTTAAGGTTTAAATCTTTTAAGTCAACACACAAAAATTATTGGTAGCACATGTAGGTTACACAAAACCCCTGGACAGTGGTCTGAGCTAATGTCGTCAGCCTGTACATGTGCCTAGAGTTCCTTAGCAAATGCACTGGGAACACCTGCCAGAACTCATTGTGGGTTTGGGTAAGTCTTACTCCTCACCTCTGGCCCCCAAAATTTGCTTTCCTTTTTGCACTGCTGATTTTCTATCATGAAAATCTAGATCAGAATTCAGGTGCAGCCCTATATGTTTTAGGACTTTTGAGGCCTGAGGAGATTCTTCATACCCATTCCTGTGAAAATGATGACTCCATAAGATAATCCAATGTAAAAAAAAATTTTTTTTTGCTAAAGTTCGCTTTCTGTTTGTTTGTTTTTCTCCTCTGTGTTAAGGAAAAGTCCTGAAAATGCTCATTCTGAGCAACTAAAGGAAAAAGAAAAGCAAGGGTTTTTCAGGGCGATAAAGAAGAAGAAAAAGAAATCTCAATCTGTAAGTAATTTCAGTTTCCTATTTTTAAAAAGTTTGTTTTTATGTCATAGTTTTATCAAGCATCAGCTTTCCTTTTCAGATGTTTACGCTTATCTGCATATAAACATTTTAGGCTGAAATCTGTAGAGCTACTTAGACTTACATAATCGGTTTATGCTGACCAGCAGAATTTCTCACTTTAGAGAGTTGACTCCAAGATGATCACAAGTTGCTTTTGAAGCTCATAATATCAAAAGCAATTTACTATGTGGGCAAGGGAAGTAGAGTGCTATAATTCAAGAAAAATACCTAAAGCCACCCCCGCTCGGGCTCAGGAAACTAGTTTCACAGTTGTCAGCTATATAATTATTCATATCTGAAAACAAAAGTATCTGAAGGATTACTTCCGTGGAAATATAGTATGGCAAGACCAAACACAGAATGCTAACAAGCTGAGTCTTCATCCAGACAAGGCAGAAGTACTGCTGGTCCATAGACAAACTGATCCATGAGTAGAAGTACAAAGTGTTCTGGATGGGCTTGCGCTCGCTCTGAATAACCAGTTTCATAGCTTGGGAGATGCCTCTAAATATGCTCTCTGTTCTGGCTGGTTGGTGTGGGGAGAAGGGGAATGATTGGTCTTACCATACCCACATGCATAACCTTCAATCTCATTCATTATCACTACACCATAATAGTATCCCAGATCATGATGACATGCTGAACAGATTAAAATGCATTTGATAAAAACAGTAAATACCAGTTAGTGCAGTATTGTTCAAACAAGAAATTATTTCAGCAGATATAATGAAGGTAGCTTAAAAGGGGGATTTCTTCATTTTTAAAAATGTTGTATTTAGCATTGTATGTGTCTTATTTTTAGAGAGCTCCAATCAATTTACAAAGAAAGGCATTTATGCAAACAGTTGAGCAATAAAAAAGCTAAACTAGAATTGGAATGAGGCAGGCTAGACACAGAAAATAATTCATTGCATAAATTTTACAGGGTAATGTATTAGGAATTAACTAATTAAAAAGCATATTATTGTATGAGAATGGGTGATGCGTCTGCATGCATGCATATGCTGTTTTAATATCAAATAATGAGTGCAGTGAAAGCATGTGGTTAGAATTCATATTCTCTGGTAAATGGTATTTAATTTACATAGAAACAAGTGGCATTAGTGTTTATAGTATTGTAATACCTGCAGCAATATAGCTGATATCTGAAATGATTATTGTATTTAGCATGCTGAATTCTCATTTGGAAACACAACTTTGAACATAGTTTGGTTGAAATTCCATTGGATTTCTTTTTTCTAACTGTTACTGTATAACAATTTAAGTCTGGATAAAATGGATAACATGTTTAATATGGCTTCATAATTGCCATGTTTTGGGTGAGCATGCTACAAGTCACACTCATGTGAATGAGCATTATCTGGTCTTGTGATATCTGCATTCTCACATTTAACCCCTTTTCGTTAAACTCTGCAGTCTCATGCCCATTTCCCCTTTTCTGCCAACCCATCTTTGTTCTTGTGAGCAAGTATTATTGCATGTATACAAACCCACAATGTAGTGCAGTTAGACAAAATTAAAGCTGGGAAATGTTTCCTTGGAAATTGCTGATGTGGGCTAAAAATGAGTTGAAAGGAGAATTTAGTTTCTGTTGCATGTATCTAACATAATGGAAATATCTATAGTTAGATATTGGCAAATCTTTACCTATTGTTGCAGTAAAGGATCATAATCTGCTAAGACATTGTGACTCAACCCAAGATATTGGTCTGTGAGACAGTTTAGATCAAAGCTTCTGTTCACCATGGCTAGATCAGCGTTCAAAGCTGTCATATGGCACAGAAATGAGAAAATAAGCAATATGGTGTGCATAGGATCTGGGGCTTTTGGTGTGCCAATCTGTAAAATTTTGGCCATTATGCAGCCAGCTACAAATCAGTGTGCCCGATTATTGTAATGAATCATTGTACAGTAATAAAGACCACATAGCTGTACATAGAAACTGGTGTAAATCAACAGCTATAGGACGTCAGCATAATTGCCGCAACTGCTTCATATTCAGCGGTGAAAATATTTTGTGCTGGCTTTATTTGCCTATTTCAAGCTAGCACAATGCTTTGCCATAAGAACATTTCTCACTGGTTTCTTTCTGAAACAGAGGCAAAGAGAGTGGCTTAGTTGTTAAAATACGTTGGAATAGCACTAGGGAGAACTAGCACTAGGGAGAAATATCCAGTCTTACCTACTTCACAGGGTAATTGTGAGTACAAAATTAGGGAGAGAGCATGTTGGACACTGTGAGAAGGGGGAATTATAGTATGGAATATATATTTGCAGAAAAAATAAAAGCATAACAAAACAACAACAATCACCTCTATTGCAGTCACTTTGGATCCCTCCCTACTGCTATGAAAAGAAGATTTCAGGATGCTAAGTAGCAGAGCTATTTTTTCTGAGCAGTTTTATTTGAAACTGCTGGCCTGTGATTGAGAATTGGCACAGAACAGTGTAGTGCACCTAAGTTTTTCATAGCCTGCAGATAATTTATTTCTCCCATACAATTCCTTCTGAAATACATATGTCAGCTACAAGGCATATGCAGAGCACAACTCCTATACATATGTACTTCAGATTAAATTCACTGTGTTCAGTGAGGTTTATAGCCTAGGAGTTAGGATTGCAGCCTTGGACATGCATTTTCATTGAAGGATGTTTTTCTCTTATTGTTTGATAATTACTTTAGTTAGTAAAATGAAACTAGCTATAACTTTAGGAGTTATACTAGGCGTCAGTTGCTACTTTGCATGCAAGTAAATCCTTTTCTAATTTCTCTTATCACTTGCTGCACCCGGATATAATGATCTTAAACAATAATGATATAAAACCCTACATTGTGTAAGTAAACTGATAAACATTTTATGCACCTTACTACATGCAAAAGCAGCTATCATGATTCTGCTGAGAGTTCATATGCTAAATTCCAAAGCCTGGTTAAATCAATTCATTCTGAACTTATTAAATACATGCATTCTTGACAGACACATTCTTGAAATGTGTTAAGTGGGCAGGTGTGTTTCTTCCATAGACATTTTTTTATTCAGCAGAGCAGTTAATCTTATCTTGCCACAATTATATAACAGCAGATTTGGCATAAGAAATGGCTAACTTATTAAAGTGTTCATATATGTGCAGATAAGAGACATGGGTAGCTCTCCTGAATTATACTGTTATTTATGCAATTAGTCTTTTATCTTATATTGCAGACAGAATCCACCAAGGCGGAGAATCCAAGCATCAAGAAATCACTCTTTCCTCTTTTTAGTACAAAGAATCACTTAAAGCATAGCTCTTCTTTGAAAAAGATTCCTGTAATCACTCTACCTATGGTATTGACTTTTAAAAATGGTAGCACTGAATTAAAACAAACAAACAAATACTTCAGTAAATTTATTTTACTGACCACAACAGCATGTATTTTCCCCATGGGATCACAAGCCTCTTCATGCAAGCTAAGCATCTTGAGCCAGTTCCACAAATTCAAAGATTTTTTAAGTTTTCAAAACTTCCAAGAAGTGTGGCATGGTTATATTTTGAAAAATTAGGAATAGATGTTTGTAGCAAACCATTAAATGCAACATCATCTGAAATCAGTCACATGGTACTAATGTTCAAATTATCCTTTCTTTATATTATTTACTTGAGTCTTGTTTACATGGTTTGCCATTTCTTTCCTTTGGCTTAAGGAAAAAGAAGTTTCCTTTGAAAAATGAAACAACCTCTTATTAACTTGATTTGCCATAGAACTCTATACTGGTCTGTTTTTAATAGCTTTAATTTCCTTAGGTTTTGTGGTAATTAGCCGCCTTGTTGTTTTGATTGGCAGAATAAAGGCTAAGCTCCCTACATTTAATGTCTTAACAAATTTTTAATCCTAAGATTTAGTTGCTGAGAAAACACTATCTAGCCAATAATTTCTCGTCCCTCCCCAATAATTCTATGAATACTCAAACCATCCCGGTGATGGGTTCAGCCATCATTTCCCCTTGCAACTAGTGTAGCTTTACTTAGCAACCTGTGTGATTAGAAACTTCATTTTACTTTGGTGGGGAATAAATTGTTTCCTTGCACAAATAATGCACAACTAACAGGCTGATAACTCTCAATTCATATATTGATCTTTTTTCTTTAGAAGAAAGAAAACATGTTTTGTTTTTGTTTTTTGTGGAGGTGGCTCATGATCTTGAGAGCAGTATGGAATGCTATGGAAATGAGGATGAAGCACAACAATGCACTTATTTAACTGCTCTTTCTCTCTTACAGTGATTTCACTAACAGCATGTGAATGCCTTAAAGGTGGAGGTTGTAACAAATCTGCATGGCATCTACAAATGTGATTATTAATATGGACATATTAAAGGGGCATTGCAATAACAGGCTTCACCTGCATTGCTTTGATCTGGGAAGCTGGGAGAATGGAAGCAGTTTGGAACACCTACTGCTTAGGAATTGATCAGCCCCCAAATTTTTTCTGTGTTGCAGATGCCTGGGAGTGATAGTCAGGATCTTTTGGCATTACAGAAAGCTATGCACTCATCTAATCACCCTGGCAGCAGGCAGAAGGATTGGCATTCTGATAAGATGACAGAAATCCAAAGTCATGTAAGTGAAAGTATTGCTTCATTCCAGTTTAAGGTCAGGGGAATAGTAGGTAGGTCTGCTAAGCTGCAACCCAAAGTACCAGTATATACCTTTATATCATAGGAACATATGAAGTTTATACTGCATTCAGGTCACTGGTCCATCCACTGAGTACAGTACATGCTGACTGAATCCATTGCTTCTCTAACCCACTTTTCTCTGAGTTTTTAGTCCAGCCCTACTCTCTCTTTCAAGCAAGTATCTAGGTATGCCAAACTGCAGGATGGAGCGGATGAAAGAAACAGAGAAATGCTGAAGGGAGAAGATAAAGCTGCCTTGTGTTTTGATGTCACTGTCTTTCCTCCTTCCCTCCAGAATCAGCCTAGAATAGTTACGGTTGCCAGTCTCACAACCCAGAGGACCATTTTTGCTTTAATTCCACCATGACCATCCATGTGTTGGACAGGGGGCAGTATTTCATTGTTGTTGTAATTAGAAACTGTATACAGTTGTACCTTGGATCCCGAACACCTTGGGAGCTGAACGTTTTTGCTCCTGAACACTGCAAACCCAGAAGTGAGTGTTCTGGTTTGCCAACGTTCTTTGGAACCCGAACGTCCAATGTGGCTTCTGATTGGCTGCAGGAGCTTCTTGCAGCCAATCAGAAGCCACGCCTTGGTTTCCAAACGTTTTGGAAGTCGAACAGACTTCCAGAATGGATTCCATTCGACTTCTGAGGTACTACTGTATGTTACTTTACATTATTGGCAAATACCCCAAAGCAGAATAGAATACATTCTGTGATCAGAATTAAATACATTGGGGGGAAATCCATAGTTTAAAGCAAGTCAGCAATGTAAGAAAGATAACACTTTCAAACCTTGAAACAGGCCTGGTTAAAGAACTGAATTTTCAGGAGATATTAGAAACATGCAACTGATGGTGCTTCCCAAATCATTTTTGGGAGAGTATCCCAGAGGGTTGGTGCTGCAGGTGAAAAGGCCTTTTCTGAGAGGTTTCCAGATGGCAATATGCTGGCCGCAGTATGGCCAGCAGGGACTCCTCTTAGGTTGATCAATAAAGGTTGATTTGGCCTATGGTAGAGTCAACCAGTACTTGGCCATAGCTGCTCAACAGCAGCTAAGTGAGTTGCTGGCCACATGTTCATAGTAGAGAAAGGTGTAAGGTAGCAGCTGAGGCGGAGACAGGACACATGATCACGGGAATGATCAGCAGTTCCTTGTGCAGGGTGCTGACATTAGCAGGCTTCATGGAAAGCCTGCCTGGACTGCCATATCATGGTTACCTCTACTCCTTTTGCTGCTACCCAGCAGTAGTGGACAGGTACGGTCTCCACCCCTGTTCTTTACTGATGACATTGGCAGCTTCAAAGGAGAAATAGTTCCCCAAGGTTCTGACCTGGCTTCCTTAATAACTACTCCGTCTGCCAATTAGTGGCATACTTTTTTGGATGATTTGATGTCCTTTACATTCCATGGTAAAATATAAGAATAGCCCTGAACTTCTGCTTCACTTCACTCCTGAAGCATAGGTGAATTTGCCAGATCCTATAACTGCTAGTGAGCTATTGGCCACATTCATATGTCACTCTAAACCATGGTGTGCAATGTGCACGATCCACACTGAGTGCTCCCCCTTTCTTCCTCCTACATGGCCAGGAAGATTCAATCAGATCCTTTCACTTCTGCTTTAGTTAGCCAGTTTGTCATGTGATCCAAGCCTGGAATTGTGGTTAACACTAGCTGTGGTTAGTTTCAACAAGCCAGCTTCAGAAACCGTGGTTTAAAATTGCCTTGTTTGAAATGAACCGTATTTCCTGTTTGCCACATTGTGTTACACCAGCAACAAAAGTTTCCAAACTTCTTATCTCGGACTCATGGCCAGGAGGAGTCAGAAATCTCATAAGGATAGATAAGAGTACAGGAGAGGTTTCATTTTCAAATGTGTGGTGATGAACTCTCAAAAAACACGTGATCTCCCTTCAGGTAGATAAATTGATTTGCCATCTGCATTCCATCCTGTCCAGCAATGCTAAAATGACCTCAGGAGAGGAGGCTAAAAGCACACCCCCTTAACGCATATAGAGAACTGGAGGTACTGGGAAGCCATAGCTTCTGAGAAGTGCAGATCATGGCTGTTATGGTATTATCCCATATGTTGTACTAGATTGAAGTACATAATTTAGAAGTGTCTTGTGGAAATTAGTCATTCAAGACAGATGGATGTTCAGGGATCTTACATTGGAAATATCTTGAGTCTTAGCAGCTGTTTTTAAAACCTTCATTATTTATAAACTTATTTCAACTGTTATTTGGGTATTTTTTAATTAATTGAATAAAATCTCTATGAAGCTGTTGCATCTATTAGAGGGCAGCTAACACTAACAATAATAAAGTGGTACTTTGGTTTTCAAACGTAATCTGTTCTGGAAGACTGTTCGGCTTCCGAAACATTCAAAAACCGAGGCGCAAAGGGGGGTCTGCAATGGAGAAAATTGGGGGAAAAAATGCAACGGAAGCCGTTTGACTTCCAAGACGCATTCCAAGAAGCGTTTACTTCTGGGTTTCCAGCATTCGAAAACCAAAATGTTCGGCTTCCAAGAGGTACCACTGTATAAGAAATCATCAAACCTGGTGGAAGAGTGAAGAATAATGTTTATCATTTATATCAAAATTTGAGCACAGAATCTTCAAGTAGAGAAATGTTCATTCTGCATGCAGATGCTGAAATGCAATAGTGTTTAAAGCTATAGAATATTATAAAAACATACTGGAGCACTGTATTTCTAGACTATACTTTCTTGAGTGAAAAGCGGAAAATGGATGGAAAAAGAAATATATTGTAAATTATATACTTACAGCTCAAAGCATTATTGAACAAAGACTGTTTTCGGTGTTTATAAGCAGAAAAGGGAGTACAAATAAATAAAAATAACAAGGCCCATGAAGTTTTCTTCTTTTTCTTTAGAGCCAGCCTTTAAAATCCCTCCGCAAGTTGTTGCACCTTTCTTCATCCTCAAACCATTCAATTCCTTCTGAACCTCGATTCCAGCCCTTACCAAGTCAGCCAACTAAAACATCTTTTTCTGAAGTTCGAATTCATCCCATAAGTCAAGTTTCCTCCAGTAGCAGCAGCAACCTACGGCAGGAGTCCCAGTCAAAAGGCAGAACCACACTTCAGATCCCGGGCCAGATGGAACCCAGTTGGCATGTTTCCCCAGTGAACAGGAGTGCCAATGATGGGACTTCATACTCTGATCAGATGCCTTCTAAGAGTGGGCAAAATGGTCATACTTACAACCGAACAAATAGATCCCGAATGCCAAACTTGAATGATTTGAAAGAGACAGCTTTGTAATAATACTCCAGGAGATGCTATTGCAGGGATTTTATCAGGGGGCATGGCAGTGCTGGTGATCGTGGTGGTAACTGAATTCTCAGCTTTATAAAAGGTGTGCAATATTGAATACGTGGAGCTACTGTTTGGTACCACACCAGTAGGGATCTTACAGTGAAATTATTAATTGCCATTCATCTAATCTCATGACAAAAGAATGTGCACTTCAGGGAGAATGAACTTTTTTGCCCTTTTCTCTCATTTTACATTCCAGCTTAGTGCACTCCTCCGTCTGTATAGGCACTTCGGAGAGTTGAAAGAAATGTCTTTAGACCTGTGCCCTTATGAAAAAAAAATTTGCTGCCTAGATTTAATTTTTTTTAAAAGAAACTGTGGGGTTTATGTGAAACACTTGTATCCCTAATAAGGGTTTAAAGTTAAGTTGTATGTTTTTATTTGTTTTTTAAACTTCCATATTTGATAGGGTTTGTAATATTTATTTATGATCTACTATTGTATTGTTATAATCATATCTTACGTTACAATGTATAATTATTTTGAGCTGTTTGAAACATTGTGATGCAGTGCAACAGCTACAGTAGTTTCTATAAAAACTAACATACATAGATTGCATCAGGAGTATTTTATTATATACATAAATTATATATATGAATATATATATATATATACACAGATATATATAAATGGTAAATAACTGTCTTTTTAAAAATATACTCATTTAAAAGAAAAGTATTGTTATGACACTATCTGCCATATTTTTATACATTTGTGATATAAAGTGCAGTATTATACTTCTAATAAAAGGGAACTGAATGTGGATTGAAGTGTGAACTAAGAAGTTTTGCCCAGCTAGTACTAGATGCAGTGTCATTGCTGACAAACAAAATACAATAGTAATTCTCAGACTTTGCTCTTAGCTTGTTTCTGCAGGTAATGGCTTATCAAAAATGGAAACCCTTAAAGTCAATTGAAAAGTGATATATTTCCCCCTAAATGTGTGCTTAGCTTTTCCCGTTACTCTTAATGGAAGACAGGCATCTGCATTATCGTGGTAGAATCCCACCTCGTTACAGTTGTCCATGCGGAAAAACGAACCTGTAACAAGTTAACGCAGATCCTCTTCTGTTCAATATGTGAGGTGAAGACCAAAGAGCCACAGCAGGAGTTGCAAGTGGCAAGCCAAAGTTGGCATGACTTAGCACTGTAAATCATGGTGAAAGGTTTTAGGCCTCTATGTATTCTTTGCACTTTGCTTGAAATTGTACCGACCAGAAAGTAAAATATTGTATTTAAATGTAAGAGAGGACGTGGCACTTCTATTTTGTTTCTAAGATTTAATAAAAACTGTGACGTAATATTTGAATATGGAAAGCAACACTTTTTCTGCTAAGTTTGATTTCCCCCTATATCACTTATAAGAATATCTATGTGGACATTAAAGCTTCACTCTCTTCAGAGTGCTGGATGTTTTCTAATTTCCTATAGAATATTATTTTTAAAAAATCAAGTGGACTTATAGCAGAGTGTATGTAGAGTCTAATATTCCGTTTGCTCACAATTACTATAACTCAGGAAAAAAGATAATTGGAAAAATGTTGGCCTATTATGGAGCTGGTATAAATGAAAAAAGAATGAGACAATAGTGTCAGAACAATACATGTTTTAAGTCTTAACTCCTCAGACTTACACAACTCTTGAAAGCATAGCTTAGTCAACTAGTTGTTTTTCTAGCAGTTTACTGCTTTGTCCTCCAAAAGATTACCTGAAAAGCAGACTGGTTTACGCGGATATTTAGAAGTACAGATGAATGGAAGAGATGTACTCTTAGCTTTGCAGTACATTAAAGGTATATGTGAATTTTTAAAAACAGCATCAGCAGACTTCATAGCAGGAACAAAATGTTTTTCATTGCCAAAACCAAAAACTTGAGTTGTAAGGATAGTATATGTGTCTGTTTCCTATTTAGAAAACAGGTATTAGAACAATACATGAAATAATGAGTGTGTTGTGGGGAATATGAGACCGTATGATGGAGTTTGTTTAGTAACTGGGTGTCAATTTGATTAATAGAGTATCTATCTTCTAACAGTCTCCTTCACCCACCAGCTGCCAAATTGGCCTTACTATTTGTTTTGAGACTGCAGCTCTGAGCAGTACTGTCTGCGTTACACTAGTTGTAGCTGTTTAATTATTGCTATACCCCATTTTGATTACTAATACTTATTACACTGCAGGCAATTTGCACACACAATTTTTTGTAATGCTATTTCTAGCTCGTGTGTGGAAGCCCTCTGCCTTGAAAAGATTTAGCATCAAAGTTGTATATCAGAAAATCATTAATTGTATTGTTGCATTTAAAATTAGTATTGCCATTTTCAAGGATAAACCTGAAAGTATCTGCCTGACTTTCAGGAGAGAGTGAAGAAATAATATAATTTTCTCCTTTTGTTAAAATAAAAACTGTACATCATGCTTGAACACACACAGTTTCCAATCTGTTAATATAAAGAGTAAGTCTTATTTCAAAAGCCTTGCACTTAATTTGGTTTATGTAGCCAACTTGTAATATGTTAGACTTGTAAATATGCTAAGACATCCAAAAATCTTATTAGGCTAATGGAGATTTGCTAGCATCAGAAGAAGAGCAAAGCCTATTACACATTAAACTATTATTCAAGTGTGAGCTTTTCTCTTCACTGAGATTAGAAAAGTAATTTGCTGTACTCTCTGTAGCTTTACCAAGGATAGAGCAGCTAAACTTAGGTATGTGTTTTGCTCTCTGATGGTATTCCTAGTGTAAAATAATCAGTGTCATGTATACTACTGGAAGGCAGCATACATTTTCCTGTGGCATTGTAGGGATATTTTAAATAGGGAAAATGAAACCTTGATATATTTAACAATATCTGTGGAACAAATCTTTGATACTTTTGCAAAATTGTCCATTCAATAGCATTTCGTTCGAAAGTGCCCATATTCCAATAAAATGCATTAAAACCGGCCTAAACAGTTTATTGAAAGTAGAATTTGGTAAACATGCTGCTGAGATTTTCATTTTGGTAAACGTTGATGATAGTAAAAAGAGAAGCAAGTTAAATTTTGCTTGATTCTCAGAGAGTGGGGAATGAGCATATTTTTAAGTTTTTTTAAAAAAATTGTAAGTCGTGTTTAAAATTTGAAAGATTACCGAGATTTATAACTGAGATCTAGCATGTTTAGTGCAAGAGGTTTGAGAGCTGACATTGCACAAGCATAAACGGACAAGCTTAACTGTGACCAACTATAATAATAATGGCAGTTGCGCTAGTTATCCTCAACCATCAGGCACCCGCTGGATTTGGCTGTTGCACTACACTGCTAATGAGACTCCTACTAGCAGACTGGCTTGTCACGTGAGCAGGTTGCCACAATTGGATATCTCCCTTTTTAAAGAAAAACAACAACACTACTTTGAGCAACAGACAAGATCACTGGGGAAGGGCAATGGCAGTCACTTCTGGTTTCTTGGATTTGGCATACATTTATTAAAGCATTTCAACCCAGTACTTTATAACTTCAACCCAAGATCAGGAGGTATGGTTTTCAGGTGTGTTTTTTAAAAAACCATGTTCTGTTTTTAAACTCCTATATCAGAAGGCTTCCCATATAAATCCCCAAATAGTATTGGGATCAGCCTCCCGCTCCTGATTCGTAACTATTTTTTTAAATATTTTTTAAAAAGATCATTTATGTCCTAGAAGAGAAGTATTGATACAGTCTTTAGTATTTCATTTGGCTTTTGTATAGAAAACACAGTTATTAAAATGTTCTCTCTTCCATTCCGCCATCCCCCCACACCACAAAAGTATGAGTAATTCACAGTTTCCAGCTGCCTTAAATATATCCAACTTTTATTTTTTACACTGTATGGTAATTCAGCTAAAACTGAAGGCATTTGTAAAATAACCAACAGAGAAGAACCAGGAATCCAAATATTTTAAGGCTCCTTAAAATACCAAATTGAATTATGACCGAGAGCAAATGTGAAATTGGCAGAGAACAGGTATATCTGTGTCACAGTTCTATTTGAGTATTGGACTAGTGTTTGTTAGTTTTGCTCTGAGGTAGAATAATAAAACTTAGTCAGACTTTTGCCTAAAACACTCTCAACTGAGAATGTGAATGTGTAGCCTGACTCTTGCATAACAGTAATGCTATGATAAGTTTTTGTGTATTTGTTTTGTGTGGTGGCGCAACTATTCAGGCATTAGATGAACATGCACAGGGAGTGTACGATGGTTCTGTCTTATAGTGCAGTTATTTGAGCTAGGCTTGGTGTATGTTGCAAGGAAAGCATATTACAGTAGTCTTCAATAAACATTCAAACAATATTAAAGTATCTGTAAAATTAAGATTATTTTAGAACAGCCTTCCTCAACCTGGTTCCCTTCAGATGTTTTAGAGTACACGTCCCATCATTCCTGATGATTGGCCTTGCTTTTCTGGAGCTGACGAGAATTGTAGGCCTCAACATCTAGAAGACACCAGGTTGAGAAAATGTTCTAGAAGAAAAGGTGCCTTTCCGTATCCAAATTCATTCTCCTGTTATTTTTTATTATGCCAGCTGGCTTACACATGAGAATTAGTAGCAGATAAGGACAAAAGCCATTTTTCCTAGTGTCTAGTATAATCCAGCTGCTGTTTAAGAACTTTTAATACAACACAGTTGCATCCAGACAAATTAATGTATCTTTATTTCCCAGTGAATTCTCTTCATTCAGCTACCGTAACAACAGTGTGAGAGCCTTTCCTCACATGTCTACTTGTGTCTGCTAACACAAACTCACTTATCAATATTCTGCATTATAGAATAAAAGTACCATGAAAACAAAACTGACCAGTTTGTTAACAAAATCCTTATATGAATTTTATATGTTAGCTGAACACAGTTCCATTTACTTTTAAGAGTAATGAATAAAAGTTGACGTCACTCGCTTCAGCGTAGCGGTGTAGAAGATTTGCCCACTCCTATGAAGTTTACCACTAAATGAGCAGTGCTTCTGGATAATGTAGATTAAGTTCATTCAGCCAAATAAAGGTGACCAAGCTCTCCTAAACAAGCTGCTGCAATACAGTACCATTGCTTCTTGTGGCTGTTCGTAGAGCATGTTTACTGAATGTATAGCTAAATAGTTGTACACAGTTGTTTGCTAGGACATTGCTCAACACAGGACTTTTCAGTTACCTCTCTTGGTCAGTTAATTACAAATTATAATACGGTGTTTGCTTTACTTTCTTTTTGAAGAGTCCGGTCTTTCGGGGTTTTGGTCAGGAATGGGGAACCTGTGACCCTCCAGATGTTGAACTACAACTCCCATCAACCCTGGCCAAATTCCATCATGACCAATGATCAGGAATTATGACAGTTGCAGTCCAGCATCTGGAGAGCCACAGGCTCCCCATACCTGTTTTTAGACAGTGCTTATATTAATTTTAAGCTGCTCAGTGCATGCCCATTGTTAAATTGCTTTAAGGTCTTCCTTTATTTCTTTATGCTGGATTGCCCTTTTTGTTTTGTTTTTCGCTCCGGGGGGGACAGACGTGAAAATATCTTATTTCCCATTCTGAAACAGTTGTTAGACCATTGTTAGATTTTGTCCAGGATGTTCATTTGCTCATTTATTTGCTAGATTATCCGAGACATGCATTTTTAACTCTCATCATATTCCAGCATAACCATTATCTTAAAATGTGCTTTAAAAAAACAAAAAACCACAAAAATTTAATCCACAGGACATAATGTGGAAAATACTTCATGTGGGGGTTATTATTTTTGAAGAGTCGGTAAAATGCATGGTGGCTTAAGAAATGTATGGAACACCACAATTTAATATTTGCAAATAGAATCACCTGAGATGTGTGCTAATTCTAAGACTGCAAAATATACATTGCTGTAATGAATTCTACTGGGAGGACTTAGAGTTCATAAGTGGCGGTAAATCTACCCCCTTTAGATTATTTTTCTCCAACCTCCGTGTTAGAAGAATTAAAGTGAAGGACATACTAATTCCATAGTAGTACATTTTGACCTATAAAATCCAGGTTCTCTGGAGAAGGGGGGAAAATGCCAAATAGAGATCTTCAGGGGGAAATAGCTTTGGCTATTTAATATATTTAGAAATCCAGGACTGCTGAGATCTCCACTGTCAAAATATTGAATAAGAATTGTAGATGAAAAAATAGGGGAGAGGATACCTCCTGGAGAAGTTAATAGCTTTAGGAAAGTCAAGGTAAACCCAAAAGATCTAATTAAAAAGGCAGATTTCTTGGCTTTTGAAGCGTTATAGGTAAAGATTACCCACTTTCACTATCCCTTTTTTAGAAAATCTCAGATGCGCAAACTTAAAATCAACCTTGCTTTCTGTTATGAAAAAGACATTATGTAAATCTTTGAATTAAAACTGATTTTGAAAATATGTTGGGTATTTGAAGATTTCATTCCAAGTTAATAAACCATCTGTAAAGTGTTTATAGAACTCTTTGTATCATGTTGTGCTTACACCGTATCAGATTGTTTTCAGGCATGTATTCCATTTTTAACTCCTGTATAATTTTTATTGTTTATGTAAATAGTACGAGAAAGAGAGAAAGAAATGATCCTATGTTTAATCTTTAATTATCAGCATGGGAATTATTCATTTTTACTGAGCACAATGTATTTTTGAATGGGCCTTCCAAAACATGTCTTTAATAAAAATGCAGGTTTTGCACTAGAAAACTGAGGTTGTCATCCCTCCTGTCCTCCAAAGCATTTCGTGCATCTGTAGTAAGTTTCCTTCAGCCTTGCTGATCTTTTATTTACCCTTCTGTGCTTAGCCTTTTTTGAACCTCTAGCTCCTTGAATGTATTTGCCAAGAAATATTTTTGACTTGTCTGAAACATTTAAATGATACCAGTTTATGTACATTACTTTTGAGTTCAGATAGTACCTGTTTTTCCCTCAAATGGACAGTGACTTGCTTTTGGACATAGCCGTATAGCTGACATAATATGCCACTGTTCCCTTTACATCTTCGTCCCATGGGGTCACTGAGCTACAGAGGTCACTAGAAGAATCTGTCCTGGAAAAGAATATCAATTTTCTCTCTGCTTCATTCCAGAACAGCCCACAAGTGTTTCATCTACTTTATTACTATGATCTTATAATTTCCCCAAGCAGAAAAATTGCCAAGAGAACAGCAAGAAGTGTACAGATACATGTCAGCATCAGAATACTAGTGTTCTTCTTAATTAAACTGACTTCTTTGGTTTACGTATGGCAAGGCTAGAGCTAGACCATGAATCTCAGATGAGCAAGTCTCAGTAGGCCTATTCACACATGTACAGGAGGTCTGTGTGTGTCCCATTAGCCCAGCCATAGCCAGTGTCCATACATTGAGCAAGGTGTGCAAAAAGGAGCACCTATATGTGTACACTTGTATTTCCATGGGTACGTTTTTTCATTCCACATATGGATAAGAACCTAAGAGCCTTCTGGAGCTGGCCTGTGGCCCGTCTAGTCCAGTATCCTGTTCTCACGGTGGTGAACTAGTTTCCCATAGGAAGCCTACAATGGGAACCTGAGCACAACAGCGCTCACTACTGGCTGTTCCCAGCAGTGGATATTCAAAGACCTACTACCTCCCATAATGGAGATGGGACATAGCCACTGACAGCCTCCTCTTCCATTTACTCTTAAAGCCATCCAAGATGGGGCCATCACCAGGACAACATCAGGAGCAGGGTATGTTCCTGTTCCCCTCCACACATTAGTGTGAAGCATATGTAAACACAACTTAACTTACTGCCCAGCTTCAAAGATGGTTGTGTAGGAAAAATCAGGACTGTCAAACACTAATCCAGACTTGAGCATAATGTTCACAATTCCTTTTCTGTATCTGGGAGAGCCTTTTGTTCTCAATATTTTCTTCATCTCTTTGTCATCCTCTGCTTCATTGAGAAACAACTATTGCTCTCAACATTGGTTTGGAAATGTTTGTCAGCTGATGTATGCTCACTGATTCTGTGTTTCTAACAGATGAGCCAATTGCTTGTGGCAGCAATGCTGTGTTGCATATTAAACCATCTAGTTCGTCAAAATCTTGGTAACTGCCATTCCAAATGGTATAATCATGGTCAGCAGTTTGTGTTCCACATCATTTCAATCATTTGGATATACAGTATGTTTGAAGTTTTCCATTTCCTTTAGGTAACTCTATTGCTTGTTGCCATCACTTTTTTTGGATTTTGGTGTGTTTAATAAAATGGATTAGCCCAGGGTGACAGATTTCCAGTACAGCATTTAGATAATTCCTCCTTTGCAAATGTCTTACGGAAAGAAATACCCACCTTTTGTCCTCTATAAATGGCTTTGGATGAAGATGCTTCTGTTCCGTAAAGATTTCTTGCTTTCTAATTTGACTCCACAAACCTACTTGGCTGTCAGAAACTGCCCAGTTACTGGAGACGATAAAATAGACGGATGGTATGAGGACACACCGAAAAGCCAAGTCTATCCTAGGAGCAGCTGTGTGTGAGAGAGAGAATTTGGAGCTTCTGTGTTGACCTTTTCAGTAACAAGAAGAGTGAGATCTCAATGTATCTGTGAAAACTGGAAGGAGTCAAATATGAGTTGGTGCCTGATAATCTGCTCTCTAGGAACATTGGGCTTCCCCAAGTCTGCAACCAGAGTT